GAAAAGCGTAAGACTCATGTTTGGGAGGAGGGCATATCTAAGGCAATCAACGTTTAGCGTAATATATGACTCATGCTCCTTTAGGTTCTTTAAATTCCGTGGGCGATGTAGCTACAGAGATCAATGCAGTCAATTATGTCTCTCTCAGAAGTTTGTTAGCTACTTCTCATTTTGTTTTAGGATTTTTCCTATTTGTGGGTCATTTGTGGCATGCATGAAGGGTCCATGAAGCTGCAGCAGGACTTGAAAAAGGAATCAATCGTGATTTTGAATTTGTTCTTTCCATGACTCCTCTTAACTGAGACGGTAAATCAAATATATGAAGTAGGAATCAATTTGGATTCTACACATATTTGGATCAGGTCATACCACAGCATCAGGCTGCCATAAGTATGAGATGTTTGATGTTCTAAATACCGCACTTTTATCACTGGTTAAGTATAGAAACAAAATATCGGACCAGCTTGACATCCTTAGTTATTTTGGTCTAAGGATAGAAATGTCATATGGGCCTTCTATGTAGGTCGGGTCCAGCTAGACCCATACCCAGATGCGAGTAGTATTCCGGTCTAGGTTTTGGACCCAGACCTAACCTGTAGGGTCCAAAAGTTGGACCCATACCCGTATCCGTTGAGTCTCAGGTCTAGTCGGGTCCATTACCACTCTCACTATGCGCTTTTTTTTTTTTTGCTCTTTTTTATTGAATAAGTTTATATAAGATTGCAACATCTCATGATACAAATCGTCTCTCACTATCTCCAATGTTGAAAGTCATCCGTCGGTATCTCCTTGTTTAAAAATATTTATTGAATTCAGTTAGGTTAAGAATTTCAGTGGAACAAATTGTGAACAAATTGTGAATGCTTTATTGTTCAAACAAAGCTCTCTCTCTCTCTCCCTTTAAGTTAGGTAATGACATGTGTTAGTGGGTGGGCAGATATTACATAGGCAAAAGAGCCAGGTTTACCATAGACCCAAGAAAAAAAAAAAAAAAGGAAAAAAAATTAGAGAGAGTGTGAAAAACGCACTACACTCAGTTGTCGGAGATTTCTAATCTCAGACCGCTTGTTATCCCCGCGTGTCTGTGAGAACATGGCTGAGGTTTGAAATTTCAGACTTAAAATTTATATTTTGGAGGTGAGAAATTTGGTGCTCTTTTTAAAAAATATTTGCATCCTTGAGAATTAGTTTCTCATCAGAAATTAATCTATCGGCTTTTAATTCTCGTCACAAAAAATGTAGATTTCAATTTTTATTAATTTAAAACTAAAAAAAATTAAATATTCAAGAGTAAGATTCAACAGATGAGCTCTAGAATCTAGAAAAGCCAAGAAATCAAGACTTTTGTTAAAATTGACTAGTGCCCCAATATCTCAAAATTATTCACAATTTCCATGAATAATGGGTTGCAAAAATGTGAAAAATGTGTATCAACCTTTAGGGCAGGAGTTTTTTAAAAGTTCCATCTATAGGGTTTCAAAGATTTAAAAAATGTCAAAAATTCTTCAGACACGAATGCCCGAGTTTCGGCTCTCCGAGTGAGCTCCTCTAAACTATTGGCTCGGTGCTTGATGTGGAGTTTGAATGCCTTAATTCCGGCTGGCGCTGTGAACTAGTTTGGAAATAGTTGGTGGCGAAATATACCCGAATGATGATCCTTTTTCTAACATCCAACCGAGTTTTGGATATATCCAATATATTGAATATGAGACTGAAGCTAAAGGAATACAGTCGGTCCAATGTTCATAATTTCATAAAGAACGTTTAACATGAGCGAATAACTGTCTAATATTTCAAATAGATCAACCTATATCGAAGGCTATTCGATGTTTGAAATATCGGACAACCTACAAGCCTCAAAGAGAAAAAAAGATCAAATTCATTTTGATGTTCCAACTATCAAATTTCAACGCAAAATAAAAATAAATAAAAAGCAAAAGTTTATATAAGGATGCAACCTTATAATGTAGAACTACGGATGCACCTAAAAAATCCATTGGAAAAGGTAGTTTTAATGTTGAAAAATCCTTTGATTGATCATCTCGACATCGAGATGTATGGCCATGGAAAATAAAAAGTTTTTAAGTCTAAGAAATAATGCATTTTACAGCATATTATCTACACCGTCCATTTTCAATATTTTCATATGTTTATAAATCTACTTGATTTTAACCATTTTTTAAATTTAAAATTTTATAATTAGATATAAAAATAGATTTTGAGATAATTCTAAGAACATTTTACATCAAAATTATATACCATGATAAAATTTGAAGGCTTACCTCTACAGCTACGGATGCATCCGTATGCCAACTGCACCCAAATAAAAAAGGGTTATGAGCATCTTTGGGACAAAAAAGAAAAAAAATAAGAAAGGGTGTGACTGCTCTTTAAAAAGGTTTTATCCGATGTTCTAAACATCAGACCGGTGTACCTCCATACAATTTTTCAATAAAATCGGACCCATCTATAATAACTATAATTGAGCAAATTTATCATGAATATACACACCTTTTTAAGTTATGTTACAAAAAACCCCCCGATAATAAACTTACCTTTAACCAAACTTTTTCCCCACTTTTTATCAAAAAATATGCTTTTCTAGCAAATACCCCCCAAGTAAAAAAAATTACTTTTTATTTATTTATGAAAATACCTTTTTTCATACATAAAAAAACTTAATTTTGGCCGGACATTTGCGTGGGCTTACCAACCGTACCTAAAGCAACATGAGTTTGTCGGACCGCCATGTATCAATTGCCGGACCCTTTTAAACTAAAAAAAGTGTCGGTCAGCTTTCATTATCTGTCAGACTGCATATAGAGCTGCATGACCACATATATAGATCTGCCATACCACGTATATAAAAGTGCCAGACCACCATATAGATATGTCTGATCGCATATATAAAAGTGTCGGGCTGCTACATAGATCCGTCAGACTGCCATATAGATCTGCCGGACTGCCATATAGATATGCCGAACCGCATGTTTGATCAAGAGCAAAATGCTGGACCGTATTTTGTCCAGGAAAAAAGTGCTGGACCGCATGTTTATCTAGAAATAATAGTGCCGGACCGCCATGTATATCTGCCGGACCGCACTTTTGCCCAAAGGAGAGAGAGGCGTGGGTAAAAGTCAAAGAAGGGTGGTTTAGTCTTTCTTCTTTTTTTTCGTTTTTTTTCGGTTGGGGGGTATTTGCTAGAAAAGTATAGTGTGGGTTAAAATGTGAGAAACTAATTTAATTCGAAGAAAAGAAGTAGCATTCCAACAAACCAATCAGACCAAGACCGAGCACGATTCCTATATTCGGGTGATTCGTTTGGAGCGAACTCCGATCCTTCTTACTCCATTCGCAACTATCAAATCCTCTACAATAATCCAATAAGAAAAATAAAGATATTAACACCTTTATACCTCTTTCACTCTCCACTTCTCATAAAGGATGAAGTTTTTAGAGGGCCTACGCTATATGAAAACAAAATAAAATTTCACCTCAAATCTTCATCTTGAAAGTACTTTCGGCAACGAAAATCTTCATGATGGCTAAAATTAATTTCCAACACCGATAATGAAATTTTAAAATAAAAAAAAAGATATAGATCTTGCAGATATATGAACATTTATTTTTAGAGTGAAATAGATGGTCTTGATGATTTGTTGTAATATACACTATTTTTAGAATTTGAAATCCCAATTCTTTTGCACAACTATAATGTTCAAGCTGAGATGATAGATTTAAAGGTTTTTCAACACTTAAAATTGCAATTTTGATGAGTTATGAAGAGAGGCTTTACTTATTTTGATTTGCAGCCCTATCAAACCATTTTCCTTTTGTAAATTTGTTCAAAATCTTATTTTATTTTTTATTTTTTATTTTTTTCTCACGAGTCACAACTCATGTATTTTAATTTTTTTGTCAGAATAAAATTGGGTATACAAAGAGGGATAGATTATCGCGGTTCACTTTTTTCCAGATACTTGTGATTTTTTCAGTGTAGATTCATCATTAGGTTGAGCAAGTTTGTCCATTATCCTTTTGATCAAATTTTAAAACAGAACTTTATCAAGTTATTTATGAGATATACACTATTTATCATTTTACACATTTACAACTATTTGACTTTTGATGGGTATTTTGAAATTAAATAAAGTTATACAAGTAGAATGTTAAACAGTTAATCTATCGTGGATATTTTGATAATTTTTTAAATAGCCCATGAAATGACACATCAAAATACTTTTTAAAATTGATCAAAATACACTTAAAAAAAATAAATAGTTCAAATATTAAAGGGTGGTTTGCATAAGGTTGCAACTTTAAACAATCCAATTAAGGTGCACCTCTAAATTTGATCATAAATATAATTTTGATATGAATAATTATTAGAATGGCTTGATAATCTGTTTTCATCTCTAGTTATAAAATTTTAACTGTAAAAATAGTTTAAATCAAGTGGATCTATAAACACATGAAAATCTTGATAATGGATGATCCAGATACTGTGTTGCAAGATACACTATTTTGCGGACTCGAAATCTTTTGTTCTTTTCATTTTCATACATCTCGATTTCGAGACGATCAATTAAAGGATTTTCCAACATCCAAACAACCTTTTATGATGGACTTTTTGAGGTGCACCTATATTTCTACATTTTAAAGTTGCAATCTTATATAAATTTTTTTCCACTATTAAGTATATGTTAATAAATTAAATTTTATACTTTGATATAAGGAGGTCATAATTATAACAATCTCTTGGGGGTGTCACAAAGTTGGAAAAAATATATTTTAAACTTTGTTCTTAGTTAATGAAGTAGACACCTTGTAAAAAATATATTTTAAACTTTGTTCTTAGTTAATGAAGTAGACACCTTGTAGCAAAGATAAATAGCCTGCCAAAAATTATGAGGAGAGAATGAATGAAGCATGTGATTAAGGGAGCATATGATATTTTAAAGGAGCAAAGATTGCGGAGAGAGGTATGGACCGTTGGGAGAAAAGTTTGAAAAGTCCCGTTGGACAGAGCCGTTGGGGGTCCAGCCATTCTGTAAAGCCCCAAACGCTGCTCCCTCTCTCTCTTCTCTTCTCTTCTCTGCAACTCTCTCTCTCTCTTGGCCAACGAGGTACCCACAATATCACTTGGCTCTTACTCTCTCTAAGGTTTTACATGGTGGTTTTTGATATAGAGACTACATCCCCCATCTTCTCTGCTGATCCACTCATTGCCACTCTCTTTCTCCTTCAGTTTGCCTTCTGCATATAGATTTCACCCCATTTTCTCTTTCCTTCCCCTGATTTCTGCACAGTTAATTGCGCTCCTTCACTCTCCCCAAGATTCTTTTTTTTCTTTTCTTTTCTTTTCAACCTTCTCTCCATAAGTAATCTCTGGTTGAAGATAGGTTTTTGGGCATCAATCCATCTATCCACCATGGCAGTGGTGCGTGAAGAAGGGATGATCACAAACCCTTCCATCATCAACAACGATGAGAAGCCCGCCATCACCATTGACAATGAAAAGGTCAGCAGCGCCAATGCTCCTCCAACTCAGAGAAGGCCGCGGATCCGTGAGGTGAGCTCCCGATTCATGACGACACCTCACCCCAAATGCCCTAATCCTCCTCCCCTTCCGACTCCGAAGTATGGTGCCTCTGATATGCTGCTCATGAGGCGCTCCCATTCTGCTCGAAGGCCGCAACACCACCCTTTCTCTGATCATCAGCAACAGCAACAAGAAGCCCTGTCCTCCGATGTCGTCTCAGAGGCATTGACAACGGCCATGGCAGCTACATTTACGACCAGGAGCTTAGACGATCACCCTTTCACTCTCAGGCCTTCTTCTGCTCCCAATGCTAATGTCAACATGTCGACAGAGACACCATGCTTCTTCAACCACACCACTAATAATAACAAGCCTGATGGTAATGGCACTGCCATCCCCCCGAGGAAGCGGCCTGCTGCTCCTGCAAGACAGTTCAAGGAGAATGGTGGCGCTGGTCTCAGGCCTGACACCCCAAGACCCCAAGCTAAAGATAGGAGCAGCAGGTCCATTCCAAGAATCCAGCACCACAGATCTCTTCAGAATAACAAGGTGGCCGCTCTGGTTGCTTCAAGACCTGTAGGCCCTACTGACTCCTCTTCAATAGTACCTTCTACAAGTGGAGAAGCTCCTCATTGTCACAAGGAGCCCATTGCAAGCTCCAAAGCAGCAGCAGTGGTGGTAGAAGAAGGTGTTCGCAAACCTAATGAGAATAGCTCGGCACCTCACATGGATTCAGGTTCTTTGGGTAATAGGGGTAATAGTTGTGGGGAAGCGCCAGCAATAGCAGAACTGGTTAATATGGATGATCTCTCCTGGAGTGATACAAGCAGCGTTGGCAGTAGTCAGGGAGGAGGTATATGTGATAGTCCTCCGATAGCAGCAAACATTCAGAGCTCCAAGATCCTTCGGACAGCATCATCTGCCTGTCGTTCTTCTATGCCAGAGGCAGACCTGCTCCCCACCATGGGTGGAAGGGATGGCGGTGGTCCATGTCGCTCTTTGAATTCAGCATTCTCGAGTTGTGTCGCCGCCAAGTCTATGAGTAAACAAGCTTCTGTCATGTCCAGATACCTTGTCTGCTCATCATCATCATCATCCAAGGGGTCTGGAGTCTCTCTACCTCCTCACCCATCACACATGCGAACTGCCTCGTCCTTGTCCACCTCTATGATTAAGGCGGCTCAGCCTGACACGATGAGGAAGGTCAAGAAGGCATCGAGTCATGACGATGATGTTCACATGATGAAATTGTTGCAAAATCGTTACTTGCAATGGAGATATGCAAATGTTAAAGCAGAGTCAGCACTGCAGGCACAGGGGGTCTCTGCTGAGGTTTGCCTTCACAACCCTCTCTTCAACAAACTAGTACAGCTCAACTTTTAAAACTAAATAAATAAATAAATATAGAAGAGAAAGCAGTACCGGTAACTGGGCTTTCCATGATTTTAAGCATGAGGGAGCTACTGTCCAACAGCATATCTTGTTAATATTCCTTTTAGTATTTTTTAAACAACGGAGTATTTATGAATCTAAGGAAAAATCTCTCTTTCTTAGTGATAATAGTTGCAGAAACTATGCTCAAGAATTTTCTGAGTGAATCAGATTACCAGAAGCCCATTTCGATTTTGTACTAGAAATTTTGTTATTTGACTTTTATTTCTACAATCAAAGTTTGTGGCAGCTGTTCTAAATTTCTAATTTCTTATGATGCAGAAATGTCTCATTGCTTTATGGGCTAAAATAGTCAAATTGCATGATTCTGTAGAAAGAAAGAGAATTGAGCTGGTACAACTTAAGATGGCAGAAAGATTATCTAAAATTCTTGAAGGACAGGTTTGTCTCGTACTTTTTGAATGCCTTAGTGAACATTGTTTCATATTTCAAATTGGTACTGGATTTCCCATGCTTAATTCTCATAATAGGAATCACACAGGACATCAAGTTTCGATAATTCCAGTGCATTACCCCTGTAAGTTTGAGAAGAATCTTTTTATTCATTCCTTTGAATCATTATGGACAGGACAGTAATTCCTGATTCACACAGTTCCAGATCAGTGATTCAACAATATGGATTGTCATATGAATACAACTCAAAAAAAATAAAAAATAATTGAAAACCAGTGGAAATTGGTGGTTATGGGCTTCGCTGGTCCTGGATCACCCCCAACCGGTTCTGGGTCGAACTGGGTGATTTCATTTGGACCCACCAACATTTAAATCCCTGGTATGAAACAATGTTGTAGAAAGCAGACTTAACTGGCTGGCATCACAAAGTCATTTATGCAATCTGGACTAAGTGACTCAATGTGAATATGAGATCAAAACATGTTAGTTGCAACTTGGAGTTGTAGAGTTTGTAGTTTGTACCTTAACAAGATCACCCAAAGAAGAGGACTCGAAGAAACAGTCATGCCGTGGGAACCAGTGAACCTAATGTACCTATAGATGTTCTTGACAGCTGCTAAGTGAGAATGAGACAACTAATATATAAGCAGGCAGATTTGAATGATGGTAATGGTATGATTAAGATGAGTCCAGGTAGTCGAGGTGCAATGCCAGAGGTCCTCGGCAGCTTGATGCTGCAAATTCATTTATATCCCCCTTTGTAGGTAGATGTTGCAATAAGCCATACTAAATGTTTATAATCAATCAATCTTTATGTTTGTTGAGAAAGAGACTTACCGGTAATTTCGCAAGTTACTAATGGCCAATCTAATGTTCAAGTGGCCCTAAATTTGCAGATGGGTGCCAGAGAAGATGCGTATATCTTAACCCATTGGAAAATCATCAAGATTCAACACAAATCAACTATAACATACTAATAAAATATCTCATTGCATATGCGAAACCTGCTTGATTTGATACTTGCACGCAATTAAGTCTAAAAATTGGCCTTATGGATACATCAAGTACATCGATTGTAGTTATGGAACAACTGTCACTAATTTCATTACGACATGAAAAGTGGTTGTTAGGAGTTGAAAGTTGTTCTGTTGCCTCATGGATTGCAGATGCCATTTTTGGATAGCTGGGAGAATATGGAAGAAAGTTATTCAAATTCCCTTTTGGGAGTTTCTGGAGCTCTACATAATGCTACACTACGACTCCCAGTGACTGGAAATGTAAGGGTAAGATGCTCGCTTCATAGTTTGTATTTGTCTGATTCATGTCGTAGCTGTTTGTGGCTGTTTGAGCAACATTAGGATCGACTTCTAGCCCTGAATGTATTTACTTGTTAGTATTAACATTTGGATAGTATTTACTTGTTAATATTAACATTTGGATGGTATTGCTTAATTGTGATCTTTTGACAAATATATGGCTCTGATATTCAGTGTGTCTTAGTTGAAGTGTCTAGTTTGATGGTGCAGGCTGATACTGGAGAGGTGGAACAGGCTCTACAATCTGCTGCGGATGTGCTAGAAGCAACATATCCCTCTCTCTGCAGCTTCCTGCCAAAGGTAAAATAAAGTCATAAGTCCTCAAGTGTATGATGTTCTAATAGATAATGCAAATCACACGAGGGTTGTATTGTTGTTGATAATCAGATCTTTATTAAACAGACAGAAGAAATGAATTCTTTGGCTTCGGCAGTAGCCGGTATAGTTACCAAAGAAAGGGCATTGATTGAGGAATGTGGACAACTTCTAATGATGGCAAATAAATTACAGGTATGCAATCAAATGATACCCAACTAAATTGCATCAAGAAGCTAACTGGTTGGCTGCTTGAAGGGCATATTTTTCCCTATTTTCTTTTAGCATTTGTCATTATACAATATTCATTTTCAAGGCAAAAGGGGCAACTGGAAGATGAATCGTAGTTGTGATTGTTTGTGAGAGGAGAATAGATAAATAGCCTATTGGAGGCTAGGATTTTTCAATCATTGAGTCCTTCTTTCATTAGATAGGGGTCTCCAAAAGGAAAATCTTACCAATTTAAGGTAAACTAGTGTGGTTTATTGAATTGGTTTGGCACTGCATGACCTTGAACCAATCGCCAGCATGTTCTTTGCTTCACATTTCACCACTGATGAAATGGCTCTAGACTTTTGGGTTTATGGCCATTTTCACATTCCTCATGTGAATTGCTTTCACATATGTTCACTAAATTCAATGAGGTTTGAATGGAGGGACCGAGTGGATTGTTTGTCCACCCAACTCCCTTCTGAAGGCTTTTATAAATGGTTACTTAAACAGAACTATCGCTTGCTTTCCTTTTCATTATGCGCTTTGTCACAGAGTGGATTGATTGTCCACCCAACTCCCTTTTGAAGGCTATATAAATGGTTACTCAAACAAACCTATCTCTTGCTTTCCTTTTATTATGCGCTTTGCTGACAATCATTGTGCTGCCACTATGCTAAGTCCTTTTTTGCTTTGCAAATAAAAATGATATATTTGAAATGACAGAAAATGATACAACTAGAGAAGGCCAAATGATGACATTATTGTGACTGCCACCTTGCCTGGCCTGTAGCCCCAAGAGAAAATTCTCAATTTTAATGATACCATTATGCCAATTTTGTCCTTCACAAGGCCCTCTCTACGTGCACTTTCAGACATATGTATCTATATCCCCCTCTGCATCACATACATATGGCGTGTGTATGTGTGTGGTGTAGTTATTTCACTTGACACTTGAATTGCCATACTTAAAGTTTATTTTCTCTCTCTTTTTTTTATTAAACTATAGGAAATGACTGATTCTAGTGTTTGTGTAGACTGAGGAATGCAGCTTGAGTGGACAACTGATCCAGCTGAACAGAGATCGGAGGCTGGCATAAATTTTGCAGTCCCAAGTTCAGGCGTCTATGAGATTCTAGCACTGACCATTCAGTGCAGCAAGCACTCACTCTGGAGTAATGCCTACTAATGACAGGGTATAGTGGATGGTACAGAAATGGGAGTTGAGTAAATGGGTGGAACTGAAGGGGTTCCTAGAAAATAAATGATGCTTTTTGTGTATGTCCAATGAGCTGCCTGGTGATTCAACAAGAATGTCATTCTTTTATACAATCAATAAACTCGTACAGCACTGAATTGAGATGTATGTTGTCAAGTGTGTTGCACAGAAACTGCCTTAGATTTACTTATTCCTTTACCCAAAAATAAAGCCACGTTGTGCAGTTTGGAAGATGTAATGAGGATGTTCAGGATTAGAGATTTGTTTTCTGGGAATTCTTCTCATCATCCTGTATGCTCCCTATATACGTAAATGTAAATTGCATGACATAATGGACCTTTTTTTTTTATCACGAGGAACTGCAGTTTGTAACTAAGCTTATGTAGAGGCCCAGTATGGCACTAAACTAGGATCCCAAAATCCTTGATATGATCCAAACTCTTGATTCATTACCTGATCCATTTTTATGGACCCTAAGATTTAGAACATTTGTAGAGTTGCTTGACTCTTTGTTGTACTCAAAGGCATTTACTTATCTTTGAAAACGTTTCACTAGAATCTCTTTAGATCGTCACCATGTCAACAACAGAGATGTTATTAGTACCTTGTTTCCAAACAAATATGTACGACACTACTTTTCCTTTCATTGTTATTTGTAATGGGTTAGTGTCAAGCTTGTTTCCTTAGCTTCATGCAGGGTGGCTCAGTGGGATGTGCACCCCCTCGACTTACCCATGGAGCATTATACGAAGGACTCGCGAGTTGTGTGGGGGTTTGTGCTACTTTAGATGGATTAGCTCTCTCTTGATATGCTAATTTTTTAGACCAACAAAGCTATATAAGGGAGTAGAACATTCAGCCTTGACCGAGCGAGTGGTGAGGTTGGTGCAGCCTTGTACATGTCATACACATGTGGGCTGGTGACTAAAAATTCTTAGCACAAAGCCTTGGGGAGAAGTGGTAGAGACATACAGCTAAGTACGGTGGGAACTAATGGAGTTCTAAGGGCCAATAAGTTGAGGCTTGGTCGACTGAATCATGGGCACCTCAACTGATGAGGCTCAAGTGCGTGCCAAGTGCAAGACGGGATGTATGTTGCCCAAGTACATTGAAGTATATTATCCCTAAGTGTAACTGCCATGGGGTGTAGCAGCCATGGGCCATATGGAGTGGGTGTGTGCATGAACGTGGTGTGTGTTAGTCGATGATCTGGTGTGCAATCACACACGCACACACAACACGCAAGTGGGCAATGAGTTGGACAGTGTAGTGAGTGTGTGTGAGCTTGCTGGCCGACTCTGCCAGGAGTGGCTAAGTTCAAATGCAAATATTTGGGTGAGAAGCTCGAGGTACCTAGGGGGTGGCTTGAGCAGGCGGGCCAAGGCTCATTGGAGTACGTAGGCATAACAACTACTTTGGCAAGCTTTGTGTAGAGGTTGGCTGCTATTTAGCATGCATGTGACATTGTCACAACCATGAGTGGGTTGTAACAGTCTGGTTCAATGGGGGCATGATGGCTAGTTACCAAATAGTACATGTAATTTGAAATTTAAATAGTGTAATGATGATCTATATAAACCCTAAGCCCAGACCTTAAGGGGGCATCTAAGGATATGTGCAAGTGTATGGTAAGATAAAAAAGGGTTACGACTTTTGTCTGTGACCCTTGTGTGCTCATTTATTCTTAGCTCGTGTGGCTTGTCAGTGGCTAACCTGCCGTAATCAGGGTGGGACTATGGCTTGGAGCCACACGGATTGGCTAAGTGAAAGATTTATTCCCAACCGACCACCTTGAGGAGTACTTGGAGCAAACCTTGAACTGGGGGTCCAAGTTGGTAGGAACCTCACTGCATTGGAGGCCCAATGCGTTGGAGGTCAATGTGGAGGAGCGATGTGGTGTCTATGATGCTTCTATGTGAAGGCTCATAGACGTCCTTAGTGCTTTCATTGACTCCCTCATGGTAAGTTTAACAATCTTGTAAAATGACATGACACTTGTCAAAGAGGGCTTGTATAGCCCTAGGAGTGGCTTGGACACTCTTAAATTGAGGGTGCAAGAGCCTAGGGAAAGGAAATCGAGAGTGTGAGATACTTCAAAATGTCTTGGAGAACTTCCTATAGGACATGGAGGGGTCCTTTGAAAATGAGCGTTCTCACAAGGAAGAGCACAATTGGCATTACTTTCACCATGAGATTATTGGAGATGCTAGAGGATGAGGGTCACAAACACTTTAAGGTCCAAGGTGGGCACTTGGGAGGCCTTGATATAAGAGTTAAATGATTAATTCTTTTAGGTATGCAGCCTGGTTGGCTCTTGAGGCTTTGTGAACACTTTGATAGACAAGCTTGGTGCAAGAGAATGTGAATAAGTGTTCATCTCTTGTGTTGGACAATCGAACTATAGTCGAAGAGGACATGTGGTTCACCTTCGTTCCTGAGCTGCAAGGTTAGTCGTTAGACAAGTTGATGAGGTAAGATGTGTGAAACTTGCCCACTACTGCATTGGCAAGCAAGGACCTAGCAGAACCTTTTGCGGTGAGGTGGAGTTGACCTGTGATGATGGCCTTCAAGTTCCAATGGCAAGATATTGGTACACCGTAGTGGGGCCAAACCTAAGAATGGGTTGACCAATGTGAGGGAGGCACCTCAGAAGGCCTTCTTAGGTTATTTCATTTGCATGAATGACTATTGAACAAGGGATTGCCTGTTAGCCCCTCAGTGTAGTTCGGGTAGTGGAGGAAGATAATGAATACAGATTCATGAAAAAAAGAGGAAAGAATAAAAAGTTAAATGATGACTCAGGGAGGAGGCCCATTAAGAGGAAATAATTGGTGGTGAGGATGGGCCAATGGCGCAAAGCCACCTTTCTCCATGGCAACAAACGAGGGGGCGATGCAGAGGGAACAACCACCAAGGTCGAGAGGGCGAGGAAAAGGGAATTTAAAAATTTGCAACAGTAAGATGTATGTCGCTCAACCTGTGGTAAGGCTAGTGTCATGTGTTGCTCTTGATGGTTGCAAGATGTGGCGTGGCTTGTGGTGGTAGTAGTTGACTTGACACAACTATATAGACCTGACCATCTAAGAGTCTAGACTAACTTGGTGGTTGCATTGGACTTGAATAAGTGATGTGATAAGGATTTAACATGAAGCTTTGTCCAAGCAAGCACGAGCCTTGGGCCAAAGTCGTGGCTTTATGGGGTTCCATTGTAGGACCAACATCAGATGAGGACATTGGAGTAAGGTGGGGAAAACTTGTCATTCCCTTTTCCTTAGTGTCATGAAAGGTGGCTAGACTTAGCATTTGCAACCCCCTTGGGCACAAGTCTTGTGAGGGCCTATGCTTCTTTGAATGGATTTGTTGTCTTTCATGGTGGTCTAGTTCTTTAGATCAACAATTCTATATGAGAGAGCTCGGGTTCCTTCAGCCTTGACAGAGTGTGTGGCAAGTGTAATTGCAACATGGTGCATACCACATACATGTGTGGCGTAATGGCTAAAGACTCTTGGTGCGAAACCTTAAGCAAGTAAGTGTGGATAGATGATTGAGGATAGTAGGGCTTGGTGTGCTATTGAGGTTTAACTATTGGGTTTATATGGCCTTTGAAGACTTTATGAGTGCTTGTAAAATGAAATGATATAGTAAAACATGAACTCAGTGAGAGTGTGATCCCTCGTGGACCATATTAAGTAAATGATGTTTGCGGGTACCGAACTGTACTTGACGATCTAGGTCAGTTGGTTGGAAAAAACTCATGTTTCTTGGGCATAGAGAACAAACCGAGAAGGGTTTTAATGGGTCATCCCTTGATGAGGTCGGAGCATACGCCCAGATGAGTGAGTCGATGGACTATGTGACCCTCGTGTGTGATGGTGTCCTACAGAGACTGGGGCCAAAGCCTCATCCATGTGCCATCACATGTCATGCATATTGATAGATTGTTTAGGAAAGCAAGTAAGCCATCTTCAGAGTGAAGCGTATGCATGTGCGAGAGATACCCCTATGCACCATAAGAGTTGTGGTCACATCAAGTATAAGTGACTTTGACTCGTCTTTAGGAGAGGACATGAAATCCATATATTGGGATTGCGACCCTTTGGCTCATCGGTCAGAGTTTAGTGACCCACTAATGAGCCCCTGCTTAGACTGTGGGTCATGGGTGTTATTTTATGGTATGCACAATATTTTAATTAGATTTAATTTATTTATTTTCTATTGATGGGAAAATGGTTTAGAAAAGAGGCATAATGGTTTATGCACCTTCCATAATGTTGATGGCCCACCTATAGAATGGATGACTCAATTTTTCACTCCACAAGTTACCCAATATCAATGGTTCATATTCAATCTCACAATAAAAGACAAGCTAAGGAAAACCCCTTAGAAATCCTAATATTGTTCAAAGCCTATAAAAAAAGGATTGTCTCTATCCAAAATCTCTACACTTTATCTTTCTATCTCTCTCTTAAGAAAGTTTCTATCTCATATGAAAACCCAAAGGGGGCATGTCACACTCTCTCATCTTTGATCTCTCTCTCCCACATTGTAAAAAAAGGGCTAAGGGGTACTTCTCTCTCCTATCTCTCAACTATAGATTTATGGCTAAGGATTTTAAGGTGTAACAAAAAAAAAAAGAGTCTATCACTCTCAAACTAGGTATCTAAGATAATTCACCTAAGGTTTGAGTTTATAATCAAAGGGGTTCATATTCTATTGGTGTGGCTTGGCCTAAACTTGCTTTCCTGGTTAAGATTAAAGGTTGATCATTGATCCCACGCCATCGGATGGTGGTGACTCGATATGGGATGTAATAAACCCAGTTGAAGTAATCTCCAGCACTCTTCACTTTTATTACTTATAATCTTATCTTTATATTCTCAAACATAGTGCATAGTTATTTTATTGGCATCAAGTTTTAAGATTTTTGTTTTATTGTTATATTGATTTTTTTTAAAGCATATGTTATTGTAATAAGACCAATTGTAAGTAATCTTTTGCTAAAACAAAAAGGGTAAAACACAAAAAAAAAAAGAAAAAAAAAAAAAAAAAAAAGAAAAAGAAGGAAAAGATGATTCCCCGGTAAAATATCACATAGGTCTTTTTTTCATTAGTATCAGAGCTATTGATACTTGATACCATTAGTTGTTTTTTTTATTTATTGAGTTTAGATCAGGCTTGGGAATGAGATATAAGAAAGCTAATGACCTTTGTGGTCAAGTAAGACACTCCGGTCAAAGAATTATTGGAATATTCAAATACCGAAAAGACACTGTGCATAATGGATATTATGAGCTATTTTGGATCAGAGATATGAAGAAGATGATGATGTATTTTTCTATTCCATACTTCAATGATATTATGTGTATTTGAGATTAGGATCTACCTACAAAATTTCAATAAGAGATCCCAAGGGAATTGAGAGTTATGGAATCATCAATGAAGGGTGTCAGTACTGACCTTGCAAAATCCAGGAATTGTCCATTGAGTTTCATGATTTTTCTCACCAACCATATGATTTTATTTCTTGCTGAAATTTTATTGTAACTTATACATTTGAGTCTACTTTCAAACAGAAATAGTTTCATCAAGAAAGTCCTCATGGTTTGGAATCTATAATCAATTTATTGAAGGGTGCACAAGTGTTGTTTTATGCAACGAAAACAATTTCCATGACTTGTTTTATTTCTATTATTAACAGAATGTTTTATAGCTTACACTGAGTTTTTAGACTTCCATTTTGAGTCTAGTTTCTAATAAAATTTATTTAAGAGAGAAATATCTATGGGAAGAGAGGAATAAAAATTTTGGATTGAAAAGAGGTCATTCTGAATTTTTGCAATTTGGTATGTTTTTCATTTAGACATGGATATCTATAATTATCAAGCTTACTTAACATAGTGATACAAGCTTTGTGGAAATATATGTGTTACTATTATGTGTATAACTTTGAATAAAATTGGTTTGAAAGGGAAACTCCATGAGGGTAGAGAGAAAATACAATTTTACTAGATAATGTTCATCCTGAAGTTCCGCAGTATGATTTTTTTTGTGATGTAAATATCACTTATTTATTTATCTGAAGAAAAGTATTGTTTAGGATTCACACTATATTGTTATGATTTGGTTTTGAGTCTAATTTTCAATACAAACAATTTCAGGATAAATTATTTGAGGATTGAGATAAACAAATTTTTTATAGAGAGGTGCTCAGCCTGATTTTCTGCTGACAAAATTGTATTATTACGTAAATGTCACTAAAATAAATACTCAATAAATGATATGATTTAGGGATGAAACTGAGCCCTATTTTATATTTTTGAGTCTATTTCAATACACAAAAGGATTCGGAGATAGACTATTTATAAGTTGAAAGATATCATATTTTTATCATGGGATGCTCAAGTTCTTTCTTGCAGTAAATTAAAAGATGTTGCATGTTAAGGCACATATTTAGATTTTTAATTATGGAGACATTTTTTAGGGTTCATTTAAAAAGGTTTTATAGTGTGCTATGAGTATGGTTTATTATAGTAAAACTTCAGAGAGAGATAATACAGAGTTGGCGAGATAAGACACTTTATATAAAAAATGTTCAATTTGGGAATAGCAGAAAGAAGAAGAAACACAATACTTATAAAAACATATTGGTTTTTTCGAAATAAATGAATATAAAAAGAGACTTGGTGGTAACATAGAAACACTAAAAATAAGTAGAAGAAATGAAATTGTGATATTTGAAATCATGAAATGAAGAAGATTATTTTTTCACTGTGTGAGACAAGGAGAATCCAAGTGCCAAAAAGATAGACACTTTAAGACATGTGAAACCGATGACCAATATCTTCTCCATCAGTTGCGTACTCTTCCAATATCACAAAAGCTTATCAAACAAATAAAAATAATGAATCAATAAAAGCACAGGTACCACACTACATAGTTTTGAGGTATGAAATCTAGCCCACATTACATGATAAGGTCATATAGGGAAAGATGATTCAATAACGTTTTATTTGTGCTTTGGTTATATTTTGGCTATTTTTTTTTATAAATATGTATGGAGTGTATGTACACTAAGTGATACGTGCTAACAAATTTGAAAGAACCGATTTTTTTTTTAGTGCCTTATTGTGCAAGAGCATGAACTACTTAAGGTAGTATTACACATGGAGTTGTGATTTGATCAAGGGTTTTGAGCCCTAAGGATGAAACATGAGAGATGGGTGTAACTCATTCAAAATGTAAGCACGAAGTGAGTGCTCTGATGGAACTCGGTCTTAGTGATCATCATCCCAATAATGTCAATAATATGATGTGTTGCGTGATGATCTCTTGATAAATTCTCTATATTTACAATGTCTATAATATGATGTGTTGCATGTGATGATGATCTCTTGATAAATTCTCCATATTTATCAAAAATGAAGTATTTTGTCAAGGCTCTAATGGAGATTATTTAGTCATGTTTTATTTTGGATAAAATTATAAGATGGTATTTATGATTTGTTTTTTTGGCTATGAACTTGACTCGGTTGGAAATTAAAGGCGAATGCGGTAAAATGGTTTATGAAGACTGGACATGTATTTTAAAATTAAATTGGATGATTTGATAAAAAACTACCTCTATAAATATGGTTTTGAGAAAACGACATAGTCATGCAAGGTTCACTAAGTCTTTATGAAAATCTTTTATATATGGTACTCAAAAGTTTTGAGATTATATCTTAAAAATTAAGTAGAGACTGTATCTTAAAAATCTATATTGAAAATTTATTTTGAGAACCATATAAAAATTAAGTAGAGATTATATATTAAAAATTTAAGATTTTAAAAAATACAGTTAGCATAGATTTTTGTTGAGGGAGTAAATAGATAGTAGACTCGAGAGAGTAGAAAATCATTTGTTATGAGGCTAGACAAATATTAAGGTATAACGATATTTTAATTACCGTAATGAGTATTACGGTATTTAAATTACCGTAATACTATTTCAACTTATTACGGTATTTAAATTACCGTAATGTTCATTATGGTAAAAAAACTACCGTAAAGGGTATTTTCATTCAAAAAAACCAAAAATTGAACAAAAAGGGTGTAGGGGAGGTTTTGAAAAGTTGGGTTTTTTATTTATTTATTAAAATATAGGTATATTAACGATAATTTGTTTTTTTTAAAAAAAAATCAGTAGATTTTATAGTGATATTTTTATATTAAATGATCACTTAAAAAGCACATGAAAGAGTATTTTTGAGAAAGATGGATTTTGAATTTCCAAACAATTATTTTTGACCGGAAATAATCATCCGGTGATTTTTAATGGATTCCAAAATTTTAGATCCAAACAATTTCCTTAGGTAGTGATTTGGGCATTTTCACCTAAAGTAACAAGTAGAATTTATGTTCTTGTTGGAGTAATATTAGATTGAGAGTGAAACAATAGTAATGTGTGCTAGTACTGTTTCACATTATGCATTTTCCTTCTTAGTTATAATACCTATCTACGAGATGTTATAAGTTGAATTGCTTGTTAATTCTAGTATTGTTTTATTTTTAAAATTATTCTCATTATATTTTCAATTTTCAAGTATTTAACTTTCTAAAATATCCATCCTTTAAAACAAATATTATGAAATAAAATATCATTCTAAAAAAAATATAAATTAGTAAGATATTTTGTAAGATAAGTCTAGTATAATTTGACATACGTAAAATTAAAAGGCATAAAAAAATTTCTATAGCTTATTTTTTACCCAAGGGAACAATTGGATAACATGCTTAGTTTACCTAAGGGGGTAAATAGATAATACATTATTGGGAAGCATGAAATCGTTCGGCAATACAGAATGTGTTGCCCACATAGCACCTCCCTATTTGCATGCACAAATCCCATTTATACTCAAGGGTGATGTACCCATATACTCAAAGGTGGTGGCAGTACACCCCATACCTCAATTGCACGTTTTACTTTCCAATTCCCTCATAATTTAAAAACCTAATAACTATTTAAATAAAAACAGGATAGAGGCCTATCATCCCCTACTGAATTACCTACAAAAAGAGAAAAAAAAAAAAGAAAAAAAAAAAGAGTGATGTCCTCTACTTAAAAAGTGACACCAAGAGGTATACCAACTTTTTAATCAAAATCTGAAAATAAGTTTTAACTTTTCCAAATGAATTTCTCAAATGCTTTAAGATTTTTTTTGAGTTTGCTCGTAATGTTCCAAATTGGGAAAAATTTGGAGCGACAAAAATAGCATTTTTACGGAGGTAGGTTCACGTTCGGGAGCATAAAAATTACAAGGCCCCAAGAAATGTAAACCTTATGTCAGAATGTAGAATTAGGCAGACAGGTTGGATATGTACCTATGGACATTAGATAATAGATACTGGGGGTGAGGTTTGTATAGGGCCAAGGCTCTGAATCATCCGAAGCGAGCATTTGAAGGGTGTTGTAAGATATTGTTTGAATAGTAGACATTTTTGTGGTGATTTGAAAATTTATTTTGTATTTAATTATTAAGTTTAACATTTAATAAATAATTTAAATAGAATAGATTTATGAACACTTGAAAATATTGAAAATTTACGTTAAAAAAATGTATTATAAAATTGAATTATTTTTTTTCAAAATCGATATGAATTTGAGTATTTTTTGGGTACGGTAACCACCTCTCCCTGTTAATTTTTGAGGTGCCTTGTTTACCCTTTTATATAAACCTCATAACTCTGCTACTTACGGTAAACAGGTGAGATGATTAGAAAGTAAGTCCAATATAAAAAACGTGTGGGACCAAATGTGATAGAAGTCTCTAGAAGACCCTTTCTTTGCTCTTTAAAAACCTCCCCTCCATTCCTTGCCTCCTCATCAAGAAACCCTAATCGCCTGCGCTTCCCTCTTTTTTTCTGATTCCATCGTCGTTAGCTTTCTGGTTTTTGTGGAGGTGATCAACAGAAGCAGCGATGGCGGATGTTGAGACGTTTGCGTTCCAGGCTGAGATAAACCAGTTGCTCAGCCTCATCATCAACACGTTTTACTCCAACAAGGAGATCTTCTTAAGAGAACTCATCAGCAACGCCTCTGATGTATGCATCATATCCACGCCCCCCTTCCCTTTCTTTCTCTTTTTCTCTCGTATTATCTCTCTCTCTGTTCGCTTTTGTGAGTTTGAAGTTGATGAGTTTTGTATGTTTGGTGCTGTGCTGCAGGCCCTGGACAAGATCCGGTTTGAGAGTCTCACTGACAAGAGCAAGCTCGATGCTCAGCCTGAGCTCTTCATCCACATTGTCCCTGACAAGGCCAGCAACACTCTCTCCATCATCGACAGTGGCATTGGCATGACCAAGGCTGGTAAGCCCTCTCTCGATTTTAATTGTTTGTCCTCCGTTTACTTCACCGGCTGGCTGATTGTTTTTGGATGAGTTCTATATCTCCTTGTTGATTATCTGCTGATTTTTGTCTGATTACTATGGGTATTTGGGTGGGTATCAGATCTGGTGAACAATTTGGGGACAATCGCAAGGTCAGGAACCAAAGAGTTCATGGAGGCTCTGGCCGCCGGTGCTGATGTGAGCATGATTGGTCAGTTTGGAGTGGGTTTCTATTCTGCTTATTTGGTCGCTGAGAAGGTCATTGTCACCACTAAGCACAATGATGACGAACAGTACGTTTGGGAGTCTCAGGCTGGGGGTTCCTTCACTGTTACCAGGGACTCCTCTGGCGAGAGCCTTGGCAGGGGAACCAAAATCACCCTCTTCTTGAAGGAGGATCAGGTACTACTGCTACTTTGCCGTTCTTCCCTTGTTTTCATTATGTGGTCTTCCCTTGTTGTCATTATGTTGTGTTGTGTTTTTTAATGTGTGTTATTTAAGGGGTATTTGGATGATTGGCTGGATGATGTAATTATCTGTGTGAGATTCCTGTATACTTTAACTGCCATGTTTTTTATATTTGTTTGTTTACTTAGTTGTTTTCTTATGCTGGCCTACTTTGCTCTTCTTCCCTCGTTTTCATTCTGTTGTGTTTTTTTCATGTGCGATATTTATGGGGGTATTTGGATGATTGATTGGTTTATGGTGGTGGTGGTGATGTAATTATCTGTGTGAGATTCCTGTATACTTTACTGCCATGCTTTTTATATTTGTTTGTTTACTTATTTGTTTTCGCTGGCCATGCTTTATTTATGTGTTATTATGCTACTTTCCGTAAATTTTACATATCGTATTTATTTGTTGTTTTAATTGAAATTACTATTTCTTGAACTGTTGACGAGATTGTATTGCTATATATAAAATAATTACATGATATTTTTAAGGGAAAATTTTGTATGGTCCTTTTAATTTTTTTTTTTTGAGAAATATGGTCCTTTTATTTATTTTTTTTTTTTGAGAAATATGGTCTTTTTAATTTTTCTAAATTTGAAAAATGGGTCAAATATATTTCAAATTCATAAAGAGGTCCTTTCCTTTGTCTTTTTTTTGACAAAATTGTCTTTTGGCTCTTTAAGCAATAATGAACTCTTAAGCAATAATGAACTCTTCAAAGCTGAAACTATATAGCATAGTGTTTTTCTCCTTAAGAAGTAGTTGGACCCTTACTTCGATTCTCAAAGGATCATCAAATTAAAGTTGCTTTTATAAAAGGGGAAGGGGGGTGTTATATTCCCCCACTCCCTTGTTCAAGCTCCTCTCTCTCCCCCTCCCCCTCCCTCTCCCCCTCTCACACTCACTCTCACTCTCACTCGTTCTCAGAGTCTCACTCTCACTCGCTTTCAGAGTCTCAGAGAGGAGTTTGGACGAGGGGGTGGGGATGTAAGTATGTAACAGCCCTTGAGCTTGTTTTAATTAGTTTTGAGTTTAAAATGAAACTTAAAAGTTTTGGTTTCAAGTTATGAGGGCTAGTATGGTCCAGCCATTTTGTCCAATAAAGTAGGGTCAGAGAACTGCATGATTCCAAATTGTGTGTCCTACTTTCTCTTTCACCACCATGAACAATTTACAATTTATAGGACAGTAACAACCTCATAAACATGAACTACCTGTACTCACGAGGATCATAGTGTACTTCTCCAAAATCTCATTCTTTTTGTTTATAGTTTTTATTTTCACTCCTTATGCTTTATACTACATTTTAAAGTACCATCCAAGGGAAACTCCGAAGTTTTTCTTGTTTTGTTGCACACGATAGTTTTCCTAGCTTTATGGCCAAGTCATATCTCTCTTCGTGGATGGCTGTCTCAATTTATTTTACATTTGCTCCCAGCTTTCTGAGCATTTTGGGAAAGAACAGTGTACTGAAGACTGTTAGTTACTATCCTTTCTTTTTTATTGAAGTTGTTAGTTACTATCCTTTTGTCATCTGTACCCCTTTTTTCAGCATCTGTCGCCTTTTGGGAAATTGAATCTTTGTCCCTTTTTTTTTTCTTTCAATTTTATAATGATTCAATGCAGACTGTTCTTTAGATGATGTTAGATGAACATTCCAAATACAGTTTTTACTTTGTTACATGTGACTCTCATTCTGCTTTCAGAGGAAATGAAAAAAAATATATACTCAAAAGAGGGCACTTCTAATGCAACGAGAATGAGAATCTGGAATGAATAAAGAAAAGCAATAGGCATTGGGGCTATATCTCCTTGAAAATGCTTGTTCAGTTCCATTTTTATCATTTACTTGATGTACCTGTACATTTTGTAAAAACAAGGTTTGGACTTCACTGCCTCAATTGCATAAAGGTGTTGGTTCTGCATATTGTTGCATGCTTTTTGTGATTTTGTTGTCATTTCCTATGTCATTTTGTACATTTAGAAGAAAAAATATTCTGGCAGTTACCAGTAAAGTCTAGTGGATTTGATAGCTTAATTTTTTAATTGTTTAGGTATTAATTATATTGTTTATGGTTATTTCGAGTGCTTTTGTTGTCATTTGCCATAGTTTTCTGTGCATCTAAGAAAAATGGAAAAAAAGGTCCAATGCGACACACTTACTGGTATCTTTGTCATTATTATTATTTTTTTGTTGAAAATTGAATTTTTATATCTTTGATTGCAGTTGGAGTACCTTGAGGAGAGGCGTTTGAAGGATCTCGTAAAGAAGCATTCAGAATTTATCAGTTATCCCATTTCCCTTTGGACTGAGAAGACTACTGAGAAGGAGGTCTCTGATGATGAAGATGATGAGGAGAAAGAGAAGAAGGATGAGGAAGGAAAGGTTGAGGAAGTGGATGAGGAGAAGGAAGAGAAAAAGAAGAAGAAGATCAAGGAGGTGTCCCATGAATGGGCAGTCGTTAACAAACAGAAACCCATATGGATGAGGAAGCCTGAAGAGATCGTCAAGGAGGAGTATGCGGCCTTCTACAAGAGCCTCACGAATGACTGGGAGGAGCACCTTGCAGTCAAGCACTTCTCTGTGGAGGGGCAGCTTGAGTTCAAGGCTGTCCTCTTTGTGCCCAAGAGGGCTCCTTTCGATCTCTTTGACACCAGGAAGAAGCTCAACAACATCAAGCTTTATGTGAGGCGTGTCTTCATCATGGACAACTGTGAGGAGTTGATCCCCGAGTACCTTAGCTTCGTGAAGGGAATTGTGGACTCGGAGGACCTCCCATTGAACATCTCCCGAGAGATGCTTCAGCAGAACAAGATCCTGAAGGTGATCAGGAAGAACCTTGTCAAGAAGTGCGTCGAACTCTTCTTTGAGGTTGCTGAGAACAAGGAAGACTACGACAAATTCTACGAGTCCTTCTCCAAGAACATCAAGCTCGGCATCCATGAGGACACACAGAACAGGTCAAAGCTTGCTGACCTGCTGAGGTACCACTCCACCAAGAGCGGGGATGAAATGACAAGCCTTAAGGACTATGTCACCAGGATGAAGGAAGGCCAGAGCGAGATCTACTACATCACTGGAGAGAGCAAGAAGGCAGTTGAGAACTCTCCTTTTCTTGAGAGGCTGAAGAAGAAGGGGTATGAGGTGCTCTACATGGTGGATGCCATTGACGAGTATGCCGTGGGCCAATTGAAGGAGTATGAAGGGAAGAAGCTAGTCTCTGCGACAAAGGAGGGGTTAAAACTTGATGAAAGTGAGGATGAGAAGAAGAAGAAGGAAAGCCTCATGGCCAAGTTTGAGGGGCTTTGCAAGGTGATCAAGGACATTTTGGGCGACAAGGTGGAGAAGGTGGTGGTCTCTGACCGTGTGGTGGACTCCCCATGCTGCCTTGTCACTGGGGAGTATGGGTGGACGGCCAACATGGAAAGAATCATGAAAGCTCAGGCCCTGAGGGACAGCAACATGTCAGGCTACATGTCCAGCAAGAAGACAATGGAGATCAACCCTGAGAATGCCATCATGGAGGAGCTCAGGAAGAGGGCAGATGTCGACAAGAATGACAAGTCCGTCAAGGATTTGGTGTTGCTCCTTTTTGAGACTGCTCTCCTCACCTCTGGGTTCAGCCTGGATGACCCCAACACTTTTGGTAACAGGATCCACCGCATGCTCAAGCTGGGCCTGAGCATCGATGAGGATGACACTGCTGCAGAACAGGACTCTGACATGCCTCCTCTTGAAGATATTGATGCTGAGGGCAGCAAGATGGAGGAGGTCGACTAAACTTGTGGTGGCTGGACGCATTTTGCTTGCTCTTGCGTTTTGCTTTTTTATTTTTATTACTTTTAAATACTGAAGCATGGGTAAAACGGATTCCTGGAATATTGCTTTAATTTTGATGATAATTATAGCTTTAGACGTGGTAGTTTCAGTTTATGACTCATTTTATTTCTCCCTAATGTGGACCTGATTTTGAGATATTTCGGTAGAACTCATGTTTTGGTTTTAGTAGGTTTGCTTTGACAATGAATATATGTTTCTGAGTTTCCAATTATGCGTTCTCTTTGTATTTGCGACCTTGAAATATTCGCCATTTCTCTGGTGCGAGGATGGGATGCCCTCTTCCACTTGCTGTTTCAACAAAATTACAACTCTTAAGATACAATGATACAATAAAAGCTTCAGTTGTGCTAATATGGAATATCTACCTAAACTTCAGTTGTGCTAGTATGGAATATCTACCTGTGTTTTTCAAACTGTATTTTTTCTGCAAAAAATGGAAGTTAGTAATGAAGATTGTTACTCTTCTATGGTAAAGATGGGAGTGTAATGGATGAATGTCTCCATCTAAATTGAGTATAATTGGAATAAATAAAATTTAGCCAAATTTCTAAAAGTCTCAAAGAGAGAGGCATTGAATCGTGGCCAACCTGAAACATGGTCTCTTTTTTGTTCGACACCTATATCATTTTATGAAGTTGCCTCCTGTGCACCGAGCAAGGTTAACCAACCTGATGATAGAGCAAGATCAGCCAAACTCATGGAAGATTGAAATGGATTAAACAATTTGTAAATCCCAAACAAGCGCTTTCATGGAATGCGTTTGACTCTTGGCGTTGACGAGTTGTGAGGTCTTAATTTAGCTATTGAGTCTTGTCCATCTTGTTCTCCCTAAGTGAATGTTTTGTGTTATGATATCTTTTGATTATTCTCAAGCGTGTGTGATGATTCATTAGTTGTTGAGCTTCTTCTTCTTCCTGAGCGAACGTTTTGTACCATGATGTCTTTTAGTTATTCACAAGTGGGTGTGATAACTAATCATATTCGATCTCTTTGTATTTTATGACATGCATAGCAAAGGCTGCAATGTGACGTCTGTCCTGCTAGCACCATTAAAACTGATCCAGTCCCGAACCGTCAAAGTAATGGAGCTGAATATGGTGACTTTCAACTCTTCACAATGTGGTATTCTGCACTTCAGCGAAGTCACACAGATGCCTTTTGGGTTTTTTGCAGAATTCATTGCATTAATTGGGAGGATTAGATATTTAGAAGAGTACAAATTTCACCTAAGTAACAATATTTGCTTCATTAATCATCAACAAGAGAGCTGGCAGGAAGCCTCATCTGTTAATTAGAGCAGGAACACGGCCATGGTTTTTCTGCTCTGGGACTTTCTCCAGGCTTACAGGAGATAAGATTATGGCCTCTAATCCCTGTTAACGAATTCCAAACGGCCCTGTGGAATAAAAAGTCACGTCTTCCAACGGTCTAGAGTTACCATTTTTGAAATGATGGAACCTATTGCGATCCCGGATGAGTATATCCCTCACACAACTTGGAGATGAACTTCACAAAGGAATGACAATCCCCACATATCCTCAGGTTTTTTACAATCCTTACAGGCACTGCCGACCCTCCAGGAAGGGCATTGATCATGGAAAACGCAACTGCTACCTTGTCACTGTGCTGCAAAAGCCAAGCCTCTCTATACTCTTCATCCACGTCCAATAACGCACCCATGGTGTCAGGCTTATATACCTTCAGACCTCAACTTCTTGTCCATTGCCTTCAACCATAAATAGATCTCCTTCGTTTGGGAGTGTGACCAATCCCCAGCGATAAACTCATGAATGGTGCCTTCCATCTCGATGAGACTGGAACCTCGAACTTTCTTGATACCCTTTCTTTTCATGCAATTCCTAACCTCGTTGAGGTCGTCCCATCTGCCAGCAGCAGCATATATGTTTGAGAGGAGCACATGGCAGCCAGCTTCTTGACCACCCTCCAATTCCATGAGATCGATTCACAATATTGACGCTGCGGTGAATCCTACAAGCGCTTAGCAGAGCACCCAAAACCATTATGTCGGGATTCGTGGGCATGCTTTTGATGAGCCTTTCGGCCTCAAGGAACCCCGCTCGTCCTAGCAGGTTGGCCATGAATCCGTCGTGCTTAATCTCAGGCTTAATCCTTTGTTCCTTTGTCATGAAGAATGCACGCCCCTCATCCACCAGACCTCCATGACTACACGACATCAGCAACCAGATGAATGTAATGTCATTGGGCCTCACCTTCTCCCTCTGCATGCAAGAGAACGCTTCCAGGATGTCGTTGACGAGTCCATGCATGGCCAGTCCTGTGATGAGCACATTCCTGTGCTCCAAACCCCAGAAGACCCTGACTGCGGTCTCAATGCTCCCGCATTGTGTACATGTCTACGAGGGCGGCACCCAAATTGTTGCATATCACTATGTTGTTGCGCTCCATGTATGTATGAATCCATCTGCCTTGATTGAGTGCTGCCAAGTGCGCGCACGGCGACAGCATAGTCACCAACGTAATCTCATTTGGTTTCACGTCTTTGTCCAATTGCATCTTGTTGAACAGAAACAGTGCATCTTTGAAGCGGTTGTTCTGCACATAGCCAGAAATCATGGTGGTCCATGACACCACGTCTCTCTCGGGCATCTCCTTGAACAACCGATGTGCAGAATTCATGTTTCCGCTCTGAGTGTAGGCAGGGATCATGGCATTCCACGAGACCATGTTCTGCAAGGGCATCTCATCAAAAGCCCAGCGAGCAAGGGACAACAGCCCGGATCTCGCAAAACCTGAGATCATAGAATTCCATGCACCGTGTTCTTTCTAAACGGCATGCTGTCCAACAAGGAGCGGGCTATTGCCAAGTCTCCATAGTTGGCATAGCCCGAGATCATGGCACTCCATGTGATTCATTTCTTTCATGAGGCATGCTATCAAAGAGGTCATGTGCGGCCTTGAGGGCTCCAAGTTTGGAGCAGGCATCAATGAGGGTGTTCCAAGAGACAATGTCTAGGCAAGGAGGGGCAGAGTCGAACATGCCGCACATCATCAAGGTGGCCGCATTGGGAGTACATGTGGAGGAGGTGTTGAAGTGGAAGCCGAGCTTGATGATGTGGTCATGGAGCTGCTGCCATTCTGGGAGAGAGTTGCGTGCGGAAGAGGCCTTGAGGAGGAAGGGGAAGGTGAAGTTGTCAGGATGGAGGAGGAGCGTGCGAGAGTAGGGGCTAGACGAGTTAGCAAAAGCTCTTATGAGGGTGTCGTAGGCAAAGGTATTGAGATTGGAAGAAAAGGGAGCGGGCAATAGAAAGAGGGATGGGTTTATGAGAGAGGGCCAAGAATCGTATAGCAGTGCAAATGGCAATTGTATGATGCAGGAGGTCGGATGCTATGGTCTGGGGTTGAGGCACCCCCACTACATGCTGCAGATCGGTTTCCAATCTATTTAGGACAAGAACCATGGTGATCACATACTCGACCTTCCTACTTCCTATGGATGCAGCAGGCCTCTTTTTTTGTCTTTTTAAAACTGTCCGCATGTATTAGCGCCATTACTCGCAACCATAGTTGAATCTCAAAGAGAGAACTTTTAGTCACCATATGTTCAAATATTTGATGCAGGGGGGAGTGCCCATGTTGTACGCCTGAGTTATTCAATCATTTTAAATAGTTAAGAAAAAATCTTCTTTATGCTGTAGCATTTCTAGTTACTGGAAATTTGTCTGCATTACTGGAAATTTGTCTGCATAACACTATAAAATAAGTGGAATTCATAATATATCTAAATTATCAACTACTTAACTCATGATTATGTCTATTTTCATGGTATTTTGCAATTAAATCAAATGATATGAGTACGACATCTCTTTGGTCCATTTTGGTAAATTTCCCTAAAATAAATAAACTCAGTGATTATGATCTATGCCGCCTCTTATAAGAAGAAGTTAAATATGACAAAAGTGTGCCTCGCCGTATGCTGTTTAATCCATTAACTATTGCTATTCTCTTTTACAATTGCCATCGCATTCAATATGAGGGAGGGGTTGTTTAAAATGGACTTCACGGTTTTTGGCACTACAGAAACTTTTTATGTATCCTTTTTAAGGCTCGTATCAGTGTAAACATTAACTATTGCTATTCTCTTTTATGGTGTTGCTATTTTCACATGTTTGATATTGAAAAAGCTAGAAACTACCAGTTCTAACCGTCTTTCATTGATTTGATGCGCAAAATGAATATGATTTTCTTACTACAACCTATGTAATCATTTCTCACAATAAAAAGGAACTCAAATTTTAAAAGTTGGGTAGGAAGCTTGTTGAGGAATATCAGCTCAGATTTTGAATGATAGTATAAGTACTCAATCAAAACTAGGAATAAAAAGATATAGTTATAGATATAGAGCAAAATGAATTTTATAAAAATAAGAACTAGAATTTTGTTAGCATAGTAGGAGCAGATGCAGATAAAATGAGAGAGCGTCAGGAGATGAAGATAAAATGAGAGAGCATCAGGTCCAATATGCAATCAAGATATTTGATAAACAACTATTCTCAAAAAAGAGATATGTGATAAACAACTGATAAACAATTGGGAAGGAAAGGTAAACAATAAGAAAGAAAAGTGAAAACATCGACGTTAGCACAAAATACAAAAATTTCAATAATGCAATTGGAAAAAATTGCGTAATGCTTTGCAATTGGAAAAAACCCAAATTAAGGTTTGCATGCAGAAGAAGAACCAAAGAAAGAGCATCTCGAAGTTGAGAGTGTCGCAGAACAAGATGAACACGACCTAGACTTTGCAAAAGATGGCAATCCAATACAACAAGTATAACAAGAAAAGAAAACAAAATGGAAATAAAATAGAGGTAGCATAATCATAAAATAAATAAAAAATGCACATCATATACATATATCATAAGCAGAAAAAACAATAAAGAAATATATATATATATATATATATATATAGCATACTACAGAAAAAAAAAAAAAAAAACCGAGATGGAATGTAAGTAACCTAAAATCTAGATTTAGGGTTTAATTTCTATAATATTGCTTAACCTAAATCTTCTAAAAAAAAAAAAACCCTTAGTCTAGGTTAGCATAACTAAACAAAAAAAAAGGAAAAAAAAGAAGAAGCAAATGCAACTGCTTTTAGAAGATTTGAAGTTTATTTTCTATGACCTTAAGTACAAAATAAGGGATCCTATAAATGAATAGAAAAGAGCATAATCTCTTGTAGATCTCGGATTTATATTGTTCAAGTTTTTTAAAAAATAAAAATAAAGGAAAAACTAACTGTGAAGAGAAGGTAAAAATTGGGGCTTTTCAGGTGAGATGAGAGGGAGAGATCTGAGTTCTTCAGTAAGGGGCATTGAATGAGTGATTTTTTTTTTCTGCGAGGAATTTTTCTTGTCAAAGACTAGTGATTTTTCTTCTCAGAGAGGCGAGCAAAATAGTGTTTTGGGTCCCCTGCGCTGATGAGTTTTTGCCAGATACAAATTTTTTTTGCCTGTTAAGTTTAGGTAAAAGTGGCACTGCAACTTTCTCTGTGTTTCGGGGATGCGGTGGTTCGGACCTTCCACCTTTTTAACTGTTCTCAAACCAGGGAAGGAGAATATTCACCATTATCAAACGCTACGCTCTGATGAATGTAACACACTAATCGGTGAGCAGTGAACAACACCATTATCATAAATGAAAGAAAGAATGTAACACAGTAACTGAATGAATGTAATACATTAATTCACCAGAATTCCCCACAAGAACAAGCCCCTCACAACGATCTCCCGCTCTGCCACCCTCGATGCCACGCACATGAACAACTAATCGGTGAGGAGTGAAGAACACCATTATCATAAATGAAAGAAAGAATGTAACACCGTAACTGAATGAATGTAACACATTAATTCACCAGAATTCCCCACAAGAACAAGCCCCCTGTTTGAAGTGATGGAAGCGCATGTTATCCCTCACAACAATCTCCCGCTCTGCCACCCTCGATGCCACGCACATGAGCAAGTGGCAGTCGTCGCACATCCTAAGGTTCTTGACGATCCGTATGCGGGACTCCATAGTGAGCAGCCCAAAGGCGAGTGCCACCTTCTCACTGTGTCTCTTCAGAACCTGCTCCTTCTCTCCATCGCTCACGTCGTAAACCACACAATCCAACTTTGGTACATAACCTGCTGCACTTGCCTTCTCCAACAGCTCTTCCAATGCAGTCTCTATCTCCTCCGATAATACGTCCCCCGCAAAGAACTTCTGCACTCCCTCTTTCCCCTCCACCCAGCTGCACCCTGGGTTCTTCCTCAGCCCTCTTCCCCTCATCTCCTTCCTTACCCGACGCACATCGTCCCACCTTTTCGCAGCGGCATAAATGTTGGAGAGGAGCACATAATTCCCGATCCCGTCTGGCTCCACCTCAAACAAATGCTTGGCAGCCACCTCTGCCAGGTTTGCATTCCCGTGGATCCTGCATGCTCCGAGTAATGCCCCCCACACCCCGGCGTGAGGCTTGATAGGCATCGTCTTGAGCAGCTCATGTGCCTCCTCCAAGCGACCTGCACGCCCCAAGAGGTCCACCATGCATGCGTAGTGATCCGCAGATGGACTGATCCTGTACTCATCTTGCATGGTGGCAAAGCACTGGACGCCCTCTTCGACTAGTCCCGTGTGGCTGCACGCGGCCAACACCCCAATGAATGTCACGCTGTTTGGAGGGATGTCTGTTGCCTGCATTTGGGAGAAGAGCCGAAGTGCGGCCCTACCATGTCCGTGCATTGCAAATGAACCGATCATCGCACTGTAAGAGAACACATTCTTCACTGTCATTTTCTCGAAAACTTGGTATGCCTCCTTCAGGCTGCCGCACTTGGCATACATGTCGATGAGTGCTGAGCCCACCACGACACTCTCCGGACCACCATAGTCCATCACCAGGCTGTGGATCTGTCGGGCGAGATGCAGGACCCCAAGCTGGGCGCAAGCATTGATGGCACCCACGAGGGTGACCTCGTCTATTGGGACTCCAGCCGCCTTCATCTCCTCAAATAACTGCAAGGCTTCCTGTGGTTTTGCATTCTGAGCATAACCTGAAAGCATTGCGGTCCACGACACCATGTCCTTGTGCGGGAGGCTGTCAAACAGGCACCTTGCAGCCTCCATGTCTCCGCCTTTAGCATAAGCCACGATCATGGCCGTCCATGATATGATATCTCTGGTGGGCATTGTGTCGAACACCCGACGTGCATCATTCACGCACCCGCATCTCACATAGAGGTCTATGAGCGTGTTTTGGACATAGAGATCGGAGTCAAAGCCAAGCTTGAGGGTGTGGGCCTGAATATCTTTCCCTTGTTGGGAGGCTGAGCAGGCTTTGAAAAGAGCAGAGAATGTGAAGGAGATGGGGCGGGGGGTGCCAAGGGCAGCCATGCGATTGTAGAGGAGGAAGGCCTCTGGGCCTCCTCTGAGGGCGTAGGCACGGATGAGGGTGGTCCATAGGAAGGCGTTGGGCCGAGAGACCTGCTCAAACACCAGTTGAGAGTAGTCCATGGACGTTGATGATGTGGTGGTATCGTAATCTTCTGGGCGATGGATTGTGGTGGCCTTTCTGAGAAGCTTGGCAATGAGGAAGTTGGATTGGGCTAAACCGCGTATGATGATGTGGGCATGGATGCGCTTGGCTGGCCGAATGCCACCGGTGCACCCATCTAGCAACCGCAACAACTGCTGCTCCTCCACTGCTGCTGTGTATGCACCATTGGTGGTGATGTTGGAAGAGAGAGGAGGATGGAGCATCCGTTATTGGGGGGCAGTTGAAATTTGTCGTTTGGGCGGGGTGGGTGGGTGCGTCGCAGGAGGACTTCAAGCAGCCAAGATTTGCTGAAGGAGGATTTCAAGGAGCCAAGATTTGCTGGTTGTTGTAGTCTTGGTTCACTGAGAAATGCTAAAATTGTTGTTGTCTTCGGAAGATGGGGTACCCTTCTAAACTAAAAAGTTTTATGTAATCGATACTATGACATTTTCCTTAGAAAATGAAGACGAGGCGAGACGAGACGGCTTGTTTCATTCCATAGATCGCCATTCCCCACCGAGAGAGACGATGGGTTTATTTTCTAGAAAAAGAGAGTGTGTGTTGTGTGGGGGATGAGATGCAGTGGAGTGGAAAGATCATCCCATGAGGCAACAGGAGCCTCTCTGACCTCTTCATTTACTGACCACGCCCACATTCACAGTGCCCGAGACCAGGATATATTCATTCCTTCCCCTCCCCTCCCGAAAGCAGGAATAAAAAAAAAAAAAAAAAAAAAAGAAAAAAGAAAAACGACAAGAAAAAACCACTTTTCAGTTGATGCGAGGGATAGACAGTGCGGGTGTGTATCTGTTGGCTTCCATCCACACCCATTCCTTTCATTCTTCTCTCTTGTATCTGTTGGCTTTCTGCTCTCTCTCTTGTCTCATTCCTTTCATTCTTCTCTCTCTCTCTTGTGTCATTCCTTTCATTCTTCTCCCTCTCTTGTATCTGTTGGCTTCCATCCAAACCCATTCCTTTCATTCTTCTCTCTCTCTTTCTCTCTTGTCTCATTCCTTTCTTTATCTTCACACCACAAAACAAACAAAAGGCCCCAACCAAATGCATGCCTTTATTCCTTCTCTAACTCAGCGGCTACGCCTTCCTTTCCTCTATTTATCCTTCTCCCTTCAGACAAACACCAGTTGTTGTTATTCTTCTTTCTGAAACAACACCAGCAACATGGCTTCTTCTTCTTCCTCATCCTCAGTTGAAGGAGGAGAAGGAGAATACTCATCACTCGAGTACACTCCAACATGGGTGGTCGCAGGGGTTTGCTCCCTCATCGTCCTCATTTCCCTCTGCATGGAGCGTTTCCTTCATCACCTCGGCAAGGCAATTCCCTTTGTAGACAACAAACAACAACAGTTCCTTTTCGCCTTTCTGTTGAGTCATTTGTGTACAGGATTTCTGATTGCCTCCTATTTTGCAGGTTTTGAAACGGAAGAACCAGGAGGCACTCTTCGAGGCTTTACAAAAGCTTAAAGAAGGTTTCTCTCACTATATATGTGTGCAATTACTCTCAATTATGATACTTTATCAGTGGCAACAACAAGAGACACATTTTTTCTTACCTTACGAATGAAAATAAAAGGCTAGGGGCCCAAAAACAACACGCGCACATACGCATAAGAGACACACCGAGCAAGAGATTGTTTGTTTTGACAAATTGTATGTGGCTGCAGAATTGATGCTTCTGGGTTTCATTTCGCTTCTGTTGACCGTATTCCAAGGCCTTATCAGTAAAATTTGCATCCCAGCAACTCTCTTTAATCACATGCTCCCTTGTAAGAGGAGGACGGGACAAGAAGGCGTCCACCATTATCAACAAAAGAACAACTCTCTCTCTGAGGGCCTCATGGCCCGACGGCATCTCTTGTCTGAGGCTGCCAATTCTGAACAGTGCACAAAACAAGTGAGTTTCTTTTCTTTCCTATTTTTTTTTTTTTGGTTTAGAGGATCAAGTCTTTCTTTTTCTATGCCTGCTTACGTGTGAATTAAGTGAAAAAAGTTCTTCTCGTAACGTTTGTTTCAGATTGATTAAAGTACTTGAATATGCCCCCATACGCACATTCCGAAATTGAAAGTCATAATGCTCTTTCTGCAATTAGTGCATGCGTTACACAAGATTTAAATAGTTGAGAATAATTAATTCTCTTTATACTGAAAGGATCGATATTATTTGTGGCTTCTTTCTCGTGCTGGATTGTAGCATTCTCGTTCAAAGACTGCTTAGTTATTATGGCTTGATCCTTGTTAGTGTATGCTGTAGCCATGCTGATTGAATAAGAATGTAATTAAGGTTCAATTTGATTCATCTTTTATCTTATTTTATTGTCAGGGCAAAGTGGTGCTGCTGTCTATAGAGGCATTACATCATTTACACATTTTCATTTTCGTGCTGGCTCTCGTTCATGTGATCTTTAGTGCCACTACCATGATTCTGGGAGGGGCAAAGGTGTATGACCAAATTATGAGTGCTTCCTTATGCTTTGTATTTTTTTTTTATTTTGTTCTTCACTTGACCCCGATGAATTTATTTATTTTTATTTTGTTGTTCACTTGACCCCGATCAATTTGTTTATTGGACATTAGTTAATGAAAGATGGAGACTAATCCTTGTTTTTTCACATTAATTCCGTAACTTTGACATACTCTATTATACTTGTGATGACAAGTACTATAAATTCCTTGCAATTCAGGTGCAACGATGGAAACAATGGGAGGATATAATCAGGCAAGTAAAGCCTGCACCAGAGGAGGGTAATACAAAATTCCTATGCATACATCTGTTTGCTTTTGTGCAAAGTGTACTTCATTCTGTCGTTTACCATAGGATATCTCATTGTGCAGTTCTGGAAAAAAGGAATGTCAGGCATGCTCACCACCATCAAGAGTTTATCCAGGAGCATGCCAGGGGTTTCTGGTCAAAATCAGTCATCTTTAGTTGGTTGGTAAGTTGTAGTTTCTACAAGCAACGTTATGGATCACAGGGAGGTGTTGTCTTGTGTGCATGTGTGTATATCTTTTTTTTTCTTTTGAATCAATTCATTATTGTGCTAATAAGTATAAAGAGATACGATCAGGAGTGGGCTAGCCCAGTGAAAGGGTGCCCTCTGCAAAAACCCCTAGGGGACCAAAAACCAGGAAGAAATGTAGGATGCAGGCTTACAAAATGCCTACAGTCCCCAAGGATGTGCTGAGAATAGCTCCTGCCCTAGCTAAAGCATCGGCAGCATCATTGGCTTCCCTATAAATGTGTCTACAAAAATGTGGTCTAGTCTCCAAGGGCAAGAGGCAGCTCCAAAGGCCCCAAGTGATGGTGTTTCTGGAGTCACCCACGACTATCAAATCTGTATTCCAGTTCGGATCAAATCTACAGAGCCCCTTGAGATTTGCGACGTCCTCAGCGGTGATGCTGCCCCTTGAGATTTGCCCCTTGGAATTTCTAAAAATGCTTCCAATGCCAGAGGGTCCAGGTTGCCAACAGAGCAACCGTCTGAAGTTCATTTTTAAAATTGACTTCGTTAAAAATGACATTGTGCATGTGTGTATATCTCTGGTATCAAAGTCAGGTTGTGAAGAATATTGCATTTGGGATTTTCTGCCTGATGACAATGCATGGTCATTCATAATTATTATGCCACAGTTTTTCTTTTGTGGAAGTTGTGGCTATGTTTCTTGTGCATTACAAAATCTGTCAGTTCCTTATTTTCCCTTTGTGTTTGGCTGTAGATATCTTTCTTTAAACAATTTTATGCCTCGGTTAGCAAATCAGATTACATGGCATTACGGTCAGGGTTTATAATGGTAAGCAACTTAGCATAAACCTCCCTCTTGATATTATAATCCTCAGTCTTTTCTCTCACGTAAGTGTTGTATGTTTTAGTCCTCGATTGTGCTTTCAGATAAGAAAGTAACTTTTTACTGTATCCAGACTCATTGGCCGGCAAACCCAAATTTTGACTTTCACAAGTACATGATACGGGTTCTCGAAGCCGATTTTAAGAAGGTCGTTGGAATTAGGTGAGCTTTGAGAGGATGAAGCCAAATCTAGAATACTTCTTTTGATTTCTTTGCTTCACCATTATAATGTCCAAGCAAGGAATTGCACAGAATGAATAAAAGACCTATTGCATTGAGTCCATTGGCTCTTAATTCCTTGCACAGAAAGAATAAAAGACCTATTGCATCGAGTCCATTGCCTCTTAATTCTCTTTTCATTTATCTGGTTTGCAGCTGGTACCTGTGGGCATTTGTTGTTATCTTCCTATTGCTTAACATTGATGGTAAGTTCAACCTAGATCAAATTTGTGATGTGAAATATACTGTAGATGTGAAATGTACTGTATCATACAATTTTTGTTCCTTACATGCATGTCAACTAAGCTTTTATATTATTTGTGTTTTTTCCCAAACCAATAAATGATGTAACCCAATAACTTCGAGTTAGAGAACTGATAGTGCATTGGATAAAATGAAGATACAAGCAAAATGAGGAGACATAATTGTTTATGACTCCTTATTTAATCATAAACCTAAAACAAGGGAATCTCAAGAAGAAAAGCTCTAGATCACAAATTCCATTTTGCCAAAAGATATGATTATGGACATTGTCTAACATAGTATTAAAATCTATGGACATTGGTATCTTGAAAATATTAAAGTTGCAAGTATTATAAAGGGGAACTGGGATTAATAATAAATTGAGAAAGCAAAACTGACACATGAGAAATAAACTTTATGTGGCCTAGGCCGTGAGAAAGTTTGCTAGCCATAAGGCAAAAAACATAAGTTGCCAAGATCCAAGATTGTGCCTGCTCACATATGCTAGAGCTCTTTTTTACGAATGAGAGCTCAGCTTCTATGGCGGACCTATAGATATTCATAACTTCGGCAGACTTGGCACATCATGTAATGTGAACGAAATTAAAAGTCTTCATAAATATGTAGGTTGATTATTTCTTGAGCTGTCAATTATAGCTTTACAAATGTGGTTGTATCATAATCATCATCATTTTAGCCTTGTCCTAATTAATTGGGGTCGGCTACATGAATCCTGATTCTCCAATCTGCTCTATTAAAGGCCATATCCACGTCCTTTTCAACCTACTACTGCTTGCTCTTTTCAGTCATTCCACTTGAACTAATTCGCATCTCCTAAGTTTACTCTCTCTCATTTTATCGCCTATTGGTGCCACGCCTAAATTCTCTCGAATAGCTTCACTGCGAATTCTATCCCTTCTTGCCTTGCCATTCATCCGTCTCAACATCCTCATCTCCGCTTCACGCATTTTATGGGTATATTGTTTTTTGTTCGCCTAGCATTCGATCCCATAGAGCAAAGCTGGTCTCACCGCTGTCCTATAGAACGTGCCCTTCAGCCTCATTGATATGCGGCGATCGCATAAAATTCCTGTTGCACATCTCCATTTCGCCCACCCAGCTCTAATTCTGTGTGCAACATCGTCCTCGATCTCTCCATTTTTCTGAATTATCGACCAAAGATATCGATAGTGTTGTCTTTTTTATACTTCATGGCTGTCAATCTTAACTACTTTCTCGTCTCTACTCCTATTATTATTACATTTGTACCCCATATATTATGTTTTAGTTTGACTAATTTTAAAACTTTTGGATTCTAGAGCATCCCGCCAAAGTTCTAAGTTTGTGCTGACGCCGTTTCGGATCTCATAAATCAAAATTGTCATTTGTGAACAACATGCACTACGGTACCTCATTCTGTTGGTGCCTAGTTAAGTCGTCCATAAATAAGACGTGGTTGTATCATGAAGCCGCAAATTTTATTCTTGTAAAAATTGAACCTCGTTTACTTTTTACTGCATAAATATTTTGAGACGATATTTGGAGGACAAAATGGTGACTAATTTGTAATTACATTGTTTTGTCATTTATGAACAGGATGGCACACATATTTCTGGATATCATTTCTACCATTGATTGTAAGTGCAATAAAGATAAGCTAAATTTGCACTTTGTAGACAATGTGATTAGCTTTATGCCTTATTTATTTATTTGTTTGTTTGTTATTATTTTTAATTTGTTGACTGTTATATATAAGTAATAGAAGTGTACAAGTAAGAGCAGTATACAAAAACAAGGCAACCCAACACTAAGGTGCCCTGTACAGAGACCCACTAGGGGCCCAACATCAAATCGAGAAGATGAGGGGGGCACGTAATCTGTTACGGAACTCAATAGCCCAAAAAGGTGCCGGGAGGCGCCACTATAGTCTTGTTTAGTGTGCCCTCTCTAGCTAGGAGCTCAGCTGCAGCAGCATTTGCTTCCCTCCAGGGGTGCCTCCACAAGGAACAGATGGCACTGCAGATGTGCGAAATTTCATAAAAAAGATGTGACAGTTTCCACGGGCATGGAGAGGAACTGAGGCCCACGAAAATGCTATTCTTGGAGTTGCCTTCAACTACTAAGACAGTGCCCCAGCTACTTTCTGAGACCTATAAAGATGGCAAGGGCCTCCGCAAAGGTGGAGTCAGCATAGCCAATTGGGATGGAGAAAGAGAGAAGGTTGCAACCATCGTTTGAACTGAAGATGCCTCTAATTGAGTTTTATCTTGCCTGCTTCAGGTGGTCTCCATCGGGAGGCACTTGAGATTCTAGTGGGTCTCAAGTTCAAAAGTGCTTGCCAGTCCTAAATGCAGTCCGAGTAGGATAAGTGCCTGAAGGTCTTGTGATGAGTGGCCCAGAAAGCGACAAGGTCTAAGACCCCCTTTCGAAAAAGCGTTGGGCCGAGGCTCTTTCTCCCCTGAAAATTGTGTTGTTCATCTCTTTCCGGATGTTCCGTATCGTGGCTGGTAGAGAGGTTCTCCACCATGAGGGAGAGACAAAAACTTCATTCGAGGTATGGATTTTGGTGTAACCCAACACCAATGAAACAGTTTAAGCAACTTTCCCCAAAGTGTGCTCACCAAATCGCAGTGGATGAAAAGGTGAGGTCTCTTCTGCTTTGGTGCACATAACGCATATATTGGCCAAGGGGAGACCTCTCCTTTGGATGAGATCGATGGTCAAGGCTCTTTGGGGCACGGAAATCCAGCCGAACATTTGAATTTTAGGTGGGATAAAGGTGAACCAGGCCTTCGCTGCAATGGATGGGGGTTGGCTGGAAGGGTGGAGGGGGAAGTAATCTTGCAGTAATGGGTAGCCGCATAAAAGGTATCACATGGAGAGGGGCCTAGGTTATCTTGTTGTCACCAGAAGGTGGGAGAAACACCGAGTCAAGAGGCATTGACACCTGGTCAAGAGGCATTGACATGGCAGAAAACTCACCCGAATCATCAATAGTAAAGGATTCCTCTTCTCAATGTTTTAAAAAATGCTAGGTGGTGTGTAGGTGGCCAGGGGGCTCCAGGCCACCCAATGCTTAGGGCGCTCCGAACCTGGGCGGCTGGTAAAAAGAAAAATATCTCTATATCGACAGCTCGATCTCGAAACTTCTACCTATAAGATGTAAGGATTCAAAATCTTCTAAAAAACCCTTTAATAGATTTATAAACCATCTAAAACTAAATCTAATATCAATGGGTGATGCTTAGATCTGGTAAGTTTCCTTCGATCTTATGAAAATCACCAAAAACTAGTTTTTTTGGAGGGTTTTTCTCTCTTCAAAATAGGTTCTAATAGAGTTTAGGTTTCAAATGAATCTAAAACCCATGATTTTGCCCTAAACGAGGGGCATTTTCGCTTTTGGGTAGGGTGCGGGCTGTTGGCGGTCGCCCCAAACTGGGCGCTGGGCGTCTAGGGACAACCCGCTTAATTTGGCCACCTAGGCGGCCGCCAGGCACTAGGTTGTCCGCTTTTTTAAAAAATGCAATGCCTCTACTCCCTTGTAGTTCCCCTCAACAATTTTGCTACGTGATGTAATGAAACGATCACATTTGTTTGGTCATTTTCATTCCGACTTTAGCCTTGTTTTACTTGTATAATTTTTTCTTGAAATCGTCTTCATTGTTGTATTGATTTTGAGAAAAGACACAATAAAAAGGTAAGACAACCTGCAGACTGGGTGCTCACGTATCGATGGCTCAAAAAGATGTCAGGTCCCCGTTGCCCTGTTTGGGAGTGCTCCATCCTTAGCGAGGCTTTTAGTCCTCGTGCACGTATGTATCCAGGAGAGGTGTATAGCTCTGCAGAGCTCAAAACGTTCGTTTAATGATGTAGTCAAGTCTCCATGGGCATGGTGAGGCTCTTGAACCCCCATAAAATGACTTTCTTGAAATCTCTCTCAGTGACCAAAATGGGGTTCCAATCAGGGTTAAAGCATTTAGGCCTTAGCCGTCATGGAATCCACATGACCACTGGCTTTGGCGGAGGAAAGGCTGGACCTGTCCTTGTCTCTGAAGATGGGCCCTATACCAGCCGGGCCAGGGTTGCCGAGGGAGCAACCATTGAAATAAAGTTTGGTTTGGCCTCCCTCTAGTGGTCACCAAATAGAAGCTTGTGGGATTTGAAGGGCCTAAGGTTTAGCATAGTCTGCCAATCTTGAACAAAATCTGTGGAAGCGTGGTGCCTGCAGAGTTTATGGTGCATTGCGCAAAACATCACCAAAGCTCTTGTCCGGTCCTTTAAGGGGCACATGGTAGACTCCTCACCTTGGAAAATCCAATGATTTTTTTCAGTCCGTATCACCCACAGTGTGGCTGGCCCCTGTAGCACACTGAAGAAAGATTCCCGACTTCCAACTCATTCCATACATTGCTGAGGGGCAGCAGTAAAGGGGAAAGTCTCCAAACTATGATCATACTATAAACATGAGATGACCTGGTATTAAATCTACCATATCCTTTTGTATAGGGAGGTGTATAAGTGTTGTCACAAGGATGAATGAGAGGTTGACATTTGACACCACTTTTGTCTCCACCATAACTTCCTTAACTTTTCCATTTTTAAGATTCAAATTGCATGTCTAGTCTCTCTGCCTTTTATCTCACCATTTAACAAGCTTGTTATCTCTGTTAAATAGTATGTTCCTGTATTCCAGATATGGGAGAAATGGGAAGTTACCTCACTACTCATGTCTCTCTCCATATACCTATGAGACTCACACATCTCTTGCGTAGCTTTTGATCCCTCTCTGCAATCTGCATGGATAGTCAACTTTTCATAATGTCAGCCACTGAGGCTGGAAAAAGGCAACGTGTAGAACCAATCCACTGACCCCGCCTCTTCCCATCATGAAGTACACATATAGGCATCAACATCCATTGTCACTGAAGAATATCCATTGTCATAGGTATATTTACAAGCAAACGAAAATATCTACCCTCGATGGGGAGTGATACTTGTCATTGGCCCATCCTATGCTCTATTTGAGGACCTTGAGGAAAACTCTCTAACCTCTTCCCTCGACTCCTCTTATTGGCACATAAATATGCCCTCCTTAGATCCATGTTTAGTCCTTAAGTCTCTATGGAAATGCAGGTACTGGGAGACCCTGCCATCAACATGCTTGAAAAATCAACATCACCAGTGTCAGGGTAAACACCACTGTCAACTAAGCCCATTGGTTAGTCTCCTCACCCCTCAAAGTGCCAGAAAATGATATGGAACTTATCGATGCTAAGGTTTCTTGATGAGAGGACTGGACTGGACATTGAGTGTTATAATCATTCTCCAAGTCACAGATGCTTTGCTGCTTCTTTGCATCATAGCACCCCATTCACAATTAGGTAGCCTATGCTACTTGTGAATGATCGTCTTCCAAGGAAGATGACTATAATATCCCAACCTCCATAACACTTTTCTAACATTGCTATCAGCCTACTTTAATTGGAGTCCACCAGGTGGTTTGGTGTCAGTACAATTCTCACAAAAGTTTTCATGGGTTTAAACCCAGGCTGTGTGCATTATATTGTTTTATGTTACATCCCGTGTCTGGAGGTATCTACATGCCTCAAAATGTTGGCACGCGGCACCAGTTTGTCTGCTACAACAGTATTTTAATGGTGGGCTCTCATTTTGTACTCAAAATTTCTTCAATTGGACTTTCTTGTAAGTAGATATAGGTGCATGTTTAGTACATCACTGTAAGGGTGGGCGCAGTTTTCTCACTTGCTGTTGTTGAGCAGGCATAGAGTGAGAGCTTTTGGTTTTACTTGGAGAAAATTGGGTACTGAGGGGGTACCTCAGCTGGAACATAAGCATCTTGAGTTGGATTGCATGGACACCGACATGGATGTCAATATCTAGTACGTATCTATCTAGGTGTCTGGTACATCGGGCCAAAAAGCCAGTACGACCTGACAACTACAGGTGCATAGATATTGACACATGTTTCAGCATCCGTGCTTGCCTAGAGTGTCTAATACGAGATGTTAAAAAATCAGTACTTTTTGACAGTTTGTACAATATTTCACTTTAATTTATTTTTTTATTAATATAAATGTGAACGTTCTCAAAAAAAAATACAGTATAGATCATGCGCGTATAAACACATATACAAAGATTGGCGTACCTGCTTAGCAGGATTTTACACTTAATTTTATATATGCATAAAAGTTTCCAAAACACAAAACAGTGTCGTAAGTGGCTTAGGTGGGGTAGCGTGCATGTCTTTATAAGACTCATGGCATGAGAGGTCCAAGGTTTAATACCTCTGGGGTTGTTACTTTTGTTGGTAAGTTAAATTGTCTCAATGTAACATACAGACTGAACTATAGTGGTGGTTACAAAATGTTGCGGGCACCTCATGGGGGCATAAAGTTACATTCCCTCCTGGGGCATAAATTTTCTGGTGTTTAAATAACTTATAAGAATTGCAAAATAACTTAAAAACCCAAGGTTTGGACAGCGGGTTCGAACCCATGACTAGTCAACTCTACCACTTGAGGACTTCTCCTTATAGATAATAAACTGGAAAATAGACACTTTAATAAGTTGGACAGCGGGTTTGAACCCAGGACTAGTCAACTCTACCACTTGAGGACTTCTTCTTATGGAAAATAGACGCTTTAATAAGAAGTGTCGATATAGTACCAGGAGTCAATGACATCACCCAACACATACGGTCACATGTCAAGGCCGTGTCTATCCACATTGACACATGTTTGAGTGTCGACTTATGTCAACACACAAGACCAAGCAATATGTGGAGTGTCGAGTTCATAGTGTTGACAAGTCCATACACATACTGCTGGTAAAGACCTTCTAAGTGTTTTTTTATTGACCTGAAATTCTGGGGTTGTTCTCAAGTTATCCCAACAATCAACTTAACAAAAAGCAAAGAAAAGAAAAAGAGTATAAATTCACATTTTAGGAATGGTTTTGTAAAAATTCCGCATCCAACTATGATTGCTTATTGTCCATTGTCTAGATGTCTAGATGAAGACCTTTAGGAACTCAAGTCATTTGTTTTTCTCTTGATTCTGTCACATGGTCAATAAAAAAGGTGGTGTGCAAGATTTTAGAAAGAAAAGTCTTCCTACGAACCTACGAAGGTGTTTCGCCTGCAGGAGCAAGTGCAAAATCTGGTCCCATGGGAGCACTATGTGCCTCCTAAAAAAACTATGAAATATAATTAGAAGTTTATTGTGAGAAAATTTTAAGTTAACTTTTTGATTTCTCAAACTACTATTTTAAATGTCAATAAATAATATATTTTGCCAAATATGTAAGCACAGGTACATGCACTACTATTTTAAATATCAATAAACAATATATTTGGCACTATTTTAAATATCAATAAATAATATATTTTGCCAAATATGTAAGCACAAGTACATGCACTACTATTTTAAATATCAATAAATAATATATTTTGCCAAATATGTAAGCACAAGTACATGCAGGAATATGGTTAAGAGTGCTTTTTCACTTGCCGAGAAGTTGGTGGTTTGAAACTTCAAATCCCAGGTGTCTCGCAAGCAGACATTTGATATTAGTATTGACACATAGTATCAACATGCTATGTCGGAGTTGTCAGCAGCGGACACATAGAGGCAATGCTTGTGTTCCATATTGCAGAATGTTGATCTGTGTCGACATGTGACACCAAGACAAATCTGGGGTAACCATCTGACACCGCTCACTTGTGTATCTCTAATATTCTTCATACGGATGCATTTGTTCCATATCGCAGCATGTTGATATGTGTCGACAGGTGGCACCAAGACAAGTCTGGGGTAACCATCTGACACAGCTCACTTGTGTATTTCTAATATTCTTCAAACGAATTTCCTTCTCGGTCAATACAGGTGCATGTTGCCAAAAAATTTACTCGCGGCTATTTGTCATGTCTATTCCATGCTTCGTGTCTTCACTTATTCACACAATTCACGTTTATGGCTTATCCTACTCTCACTTCCTGGGTCATGATTGATAAATTCACTCTCATTTCCTGGGCCATGATTGATAATTTAGCAAGTGGGAATTTAACAAAATTGTTTCTTCCAGCTTCTACTTGCTGTAGGTACAAAGTTAGAGCACATCATTACTCGATTAGCTCAAGAAGTTGAAGAAAAGTGGAAACCAGGTCTAGAGGAATTGGTGGTCAAGCCATCTGACGAGCACTTCTGGTTTGACAGACCAAATGCCGTACTTTACCTGATTCATTTCATCTTATTTCAGAACTCATTTGAGATCGCATTTTTCTTCTGGATATGGGTAGGTTGAATCATCACATGGATAGATTTTTCGCTTCCTACTCTGTATATGTGTGTGTGTCTGTTTGTTCGTATATTATTTGTTGATTCCTGGATTTCTTTACCCTCTAGAGTACTTATGGCTTTGACTCGTGCATTATGGAAAAAGTGGGCTACATTGTCCCTAGACTAATATTTGGGTAAGCTTTATCATGTGCTTTTGATTATCTGCTGTAGTGTATTCACATCCAATGTGGAAACCGGGTGCCATGCAGGGTTATCATTCAAGTGCTCTGTAGTTACAGCACTCTCCCACTCTATGCTTTGGTCACTCAGGTGATTTAGGAACCCGTCTTGGGTATATGTTGTTGACTTGGATCTGCTTGAAAAAAACTTAATTGGGGTACTTTATCTTCTGTTTCTGCTCCTGTAGATGGGTAGCACATTCAAGAGTGCCATATTCCATGAACACATGCAACTGGGCTTGCTGGGTTGGGCTGAGAATGCCAAGAAGAAGAGAACAAGAGGCTCTCATGGCTTGTTTTCTTTATTGAAAGGCAAAAAGAAGGAAGATTTGAGAGAGAAGCAGACGGAGAATATGACAATCAATACTGCTCACCATGTCGAGCACCAAGCCACCTCAGATGGCATCGCAGAAGCCTCACAGTTGATGTATAGCATGGAGATGGAGAACCGCACTTCATGAAGGATCATGTGATGTTTTCTCCAGGCCTCTCCTTAATTATGCAAAAAAGTTAATACATTTCGTACAGCACCGTTAATATTTATAAGCCATTAAATTGTTTTCTCCAGGCCTCTCCTTAATTATGCAAAAAAGTTGTTTTCTCCAGGCCTCTCCTCAATTATGCAAAAAAGTTAAACACATTTTGTACAGCACCGTTAATGTTTTTCCTATCTGCATCTCTCTCTCTCTCTCTCGTATGTGTGTGTGTATAGGTAGTTCTATTTTTCCTATCTGCATCTCTCTGTCTCGTATGTGTGTGTGTATAGGTAGTTTGCTAATCTTTATAAGCCATTAAATTTATTTTGTAACTAGGTTTTTCTTATCTGCATCTCTCTCTCTCTCGTATGTGTGTGTGTATAGGTAGTTCTATTTTTCCTATCTGCATCTCTCTCTCTCTCGTATGTGTGTGTATAGGTAGTTCAATTGCAAGGGGCCAAAAGATATTATACTTAGGTAGTTCAATTGCAAGGGGCCAAAAGATATTATACTTCCCCAGGAGTATACTAACCATTTACCTTTTGAGTAAACCCCACTTCCAAAATTTTGGGATATAAACTCTTCAAACTATAGATCAACCTTAATGTCCAGATCCAAAATGGAGACTGTCTAATTTTAAGATGGTGAGATCTAAATCTTAGAAAACAAAATTTTACTCTTTTTTTCTTTTAAGAATAATCATCCAGTTATTCTTGGGCGGTTCCCATAATTTCAGAATGAAAAAAATCCTCCGACCGAGGGAGTAGTAGTAAACTACGCTCCCAAAGGAGCATAATATACGTGCCCTTATCATTCCAAGCGATACTTCTAGTAGTATGCGTATTGCACTAGTGATCTGCTAAACATAAAAGAAAGGCTGCTCCATTTATGTTCACACCTGCATGTATATGATTTTATGCGTGCACGCGTGCATAGAGAGAGAGAGAGAGAGAGAGAGAGAGAACTGTACACAAGCTCCATGAACGATCAAGATCTGGATCAGATGTTATATAATTAGTCAGGGCTTATCTTTGGTGGAGAAAATGGGGTCTACATTTGTATGTGGTGGCTACATTTGTATGTGGGAGGCCTTGGTGGAGAATAAAAGGAACTTATGTGACATATGACACTAGTGCTTGTAGCTTTCCTCTCAATGGTGACTTCCTCGTTGGGTTTCACTTGTGCAGCACTAGATCCTAACACTAGTGCTTGTAGCTTTCCTCTCAATGGTGACTTCCTCGCTGGGTTTCACTTGTGCAGCACAAGATCCTCCTATATATGAGGACTTTAACTCTTAAGATCTTTGTTGGTGGTGCCATGGGAACAATTTCTTATCTTGCCCATATTTCACTCTTTCTTCTCATTTCCTTGCTGCACACTTCTGCAACAACTCATTCTGTGCGCATAGACTCAGTGTTGCTATCATCGCATGCCACTTGCAAAAGCAAAGGTGGGTGGGTGCCATAATGTTTTTTTTTTCCATATTCTCTTGACATGTAAATTTATGTGGTGGTCGTTGAATTAACTGTTTTTATTTATTTATTTATTTATTGCGTTGGGGAAAGGGTGTTGGGGGTTGGGCGGATGTGGGGAGTGCAGTGGCATTGGGTGTTGGGGGTTGGGCGGGTGCGGTGGCATTGGGTGTTGGAGTTGGGGCCTGGTTGAATTTATACATCTGTGTGGCTCTACCAACCTCAGGCTTAGCACCATAGTAGGTGTTTTTTACTTTTTCTGATAATTCAGCGGGTGGTAAGTTTCAATTCAGTAGGAAACATGTAAAAAGTGATTTACATGTTTGCCCAACTAGAATCTTAATCATAATACCAAAAAAAAAAGAGTAAAATGTGCAGATTCTAGTCATCAAAGAGAAGAACAGTGAATAGAAATTATGTGCTCTGAATTCTTCTCTGCATTTAATAAACTATCCAAAAAATAAAAGAAAAGCAAAATCCGCCTGTTCCAGTTTTATGAATTACTAGTTTGGTATTTATAGAGGGGGAACTCATGCATGCGTTAGCAGGTAGAGGAGGAGGTAACAAGGTGATGGAAGTGGTTCATTTACTAGGGCCCCGCTCAACCCTTCTTCACCCTGAACCCCCTCAAACCATCCTACGAGAAACTCTGCATCGGGATCAATCACGAGTGCACTCTCTCCATTCACGACGCCAAAACCACTACCACTGGTAGACGAGCAACCCTCCCGGCACAGTCTGGCTCTGACCTCGGGAGTGCCAATTATGTGGTGAATGTGGGCCTCGGCACTCCCTACAAAGATTTCTCCCTCATCTTTGACACTGGTAGCGATCTTGCATGGCTCCAATGTGAGCCGTGCATTGGCTCTTGCTACAGCTGCAACCGGTAACACCCCGAGATGCTCCTCCTCGACCTGCGTCTATGCTCAGTCATATGGGGATGGCTCGTTTTCCTTTGGGTTTTTCGGGAACAACACCCTCGCCTCGCCTCACCTTGACAAGCTCAGATGTGGTGCCCTCCTTCCTGTTTGGGTGCGGCCAATGCAACAAAGGGCTGTTCGGACGCACCGCCGGCCTACTAGGGCTGGGTCGTGAGAAGCTCTCTTTAGTGTCCCAGACCAGAGGGAAATATGGGGCTGTATTCTTCTATTGTCTGCCCACTCCAAGCTCCCAGAGGTACCTCACGCTGGGCCCTGAAACAACTGACTTGCATCATGGTTCGCTCTCTCCTCAATTCACACCATTGTTGACCAACCTGCGAGCTCCCTCCTTGTATTTTCTGGGTCTCGAGGCAATCAGCGTGGTGGGTCATAAGTTGGGCAGTGTTTGAGAATTCAGGCACCCTGATAGACTCTGGTGCTGTGATAACTCGTCTGGCCCCTGCAGCTTATGAAGCGATGAGAACTGCTTTCCAGAAGTTGACGTCTGAATACCCTTCAACAGAGCCACTGTCCATGCTGGATACATGCTACAACTTCAGAGGTTATGAAGATGTGACCATCCCAAGTATAGGCCTGCATTTTGGGGGGGGAGTTGAGGTGGATGTGCATCCGTCAGGCATCCTGATTGGGGCAAGCACGGAGCAGGTATGCTTGGCTTTTGCCAGCAATGAAGATATAAAGGATGTGGCTATCATTGGGACCATGCAGCAGCAGACACATAAGGTTGTCTATGACCTGCCCAATGCTAGGATCGGATTTTCACCTGGAGCTTGTAGCTGATCTCCTTTTTTTGGCTCGTTTTTGTATAGGGTACCCGGTAAGGGTGCCTCAATTGTTGTACACTTTACTTTAATACGATGTAAGTGAATATTCTCAAAAAACACTATTCAAACCAGTTTAGTATAATTATGACAGTCATTGCATACACAGGTTCTTCAGTATTCCAGTGGTTGACTTAGCATCATCTATCATCATAATCCCAAAAATACTGACCAGCTTTTCACTGTGATAATCAACAGCACTCTCCTTTCCTTGTTCAACATCCATGGAACATGCACTGTGTTTGCCGTGCAACCTTCTGCCCTCAACCTAATCAATATCTCGTCCAATTTCAAATAATTCATTAATGCTTCAATGTAAGAGACATTGCCCGAAAAGAATTCATGTCTTCCTGATCCCTTTCTACTCCATCATCTTTTTCACCCTCACTCTTTTGGTCCAGTTACAAGAAGCAGAATAAATTCCAGCCACAAGTATATGAAATCCTACATGATAAGGTTTTAATATAGCAAATATTTCTGCATTTCTGAACCCTGATTTTATACAAAGCCACCAAGTAATGCTCCCCATGTCACAGACTCTGGTTTTCAGGTGCATATGTTGCTATCAGTTCCTTGGCTCCCTTGTGCAGCTTAGGAAATCCTAGCAGTTGGCACTTTCAGATGGGCCTCCCTCATCCATCAATGTAAAATCCATTTGACTCTTCATCTCTTTATCCTGCATGACCACAAGCAGTATCTAAAGATTCGGCGTGTCCGACTAGGACTCGTACAAGTCGTTCACAACCAGCACCCTGCCCATTCCGGATGAGCCAGACTCAGATGACCCAAGTCTGACCCGAGTCTAGCTGAACCTTCAAACAGTCCATCCAATATTCCTCAGAAGGTATAGTTTTCTAATGATGAGACCTGGCCAGTCGACTCCGGATTTGCTGAGCGACTCTTCCCTGGCAGCGGTTGAGTCCAGGGTGAGTCAGAGGTTAAAACACTGGCTACAGTGAGCACAATAGCATAATTGATCTCAAAAGTCACAATTCATCTTATCTTTGCAATGCTCCCACACTTGGTGTATATCTCTATTAGGCTTGCCGCAGGTCAGGGTACACTACTTACATGGACCCACTTTCCCTGATCCAGATTGGCACCAGTAGGTAGGATATTTACCATGGTGTCAGGCATCTGTTTTCTTGTGAGAAAAGCACCATAATATCATTAATAAATATGCTGCACAGCTGCATTGCTACATTGCTCTAAGAGACGGTATTCCTCTTGAGAATTGTGTTAAACAAACATGTAACATGCATAATCCTCATGCCCAGATGAAAGATCAATCAAGACCATACCAAGGCCTAAAAAATTTCTTGTTTTTTTTTTTTTTTGAGAATGGCCTAAGAAAGTTTTCTATAGGCAGATGTACTTTTCTTCTAAGATTTAGGTCGCAATTACAAAAGAATTGGATAATGACTGAGTTTTCTTCGTAATGGATGACATTTATTAGCAGGTTTCCACATGTTAGTGTTCAGTCAATTATAGCCAGAGATTGGACGCTATTCTAATCTATCTATGGATGAGTTTCCATTTTGTGAAGAAAATGAATTTTTTAAATGCAGTTGTCATTACCTCTTTCAATTGGCTATCTTGTTTAGGGAAAGGTGTCTATATTTCCTCTACAACATAGAAGATATATACTTCCCCCTCATCCAGCCATCCGATTTAGATCAAGTGAACCACTCACCGTTTGAACTAGATCCGACGTTTCAGAGTATTTTATTTTTAGTTTTTTTACAAATTGTATGAATATGAAATTTGGTATGTGTCATATTCTCAATGGGGCGCACCTAAAAAAATATTAAAAATAATTTTTTGATAAAATACAATGACCAAAATACCCCTTGAAACATTTGGAGGTAGTTTTGGTCATTTTATTTTATTAAGAATATTTTTTATTTTCATTTTTCACAAGTGCGAGTTTAAGAGAGGAGTGGAAGCCCAAATTTTGGTATCAAAATAGTTCATAGAAAAATAATTAAAAATAATATACTATAGAGATGTGACATTGTGATTGGAGCCATCTCAGCCGTCCATTCAAAATGGACGGTTGGATAAAGGGAAGCATAGAAGTTTTCGAGGAAGCATAGAAAGCCTGCCCTCTTATTATGTAGAAAAATGATAAAAACTCGATGAGGATGGATTCCTTGAGTGTGAGTTAGAATGTTCATATTGGTAGGGTTGACTTATTTTCTTTACAAGTTTGGTAAAGAACATGCCAGTAGTTTGTCACAATTATGAATGTGTAATGCGGAGCACATCAACAGGTTTCTCCCTCTTCCCACCCCGATGGGTAAAAAAAAAAAGCTCATGGTAGTGGTGTTCGTGGAGTAACACAGCTTTGGGATAGCATAATGTCCATCCATGCTCGTCTCCACTTCTCTAATGAATCACTAATAAGAACCAGCAGAGCAGTGCTAGCTGTGTTTACACCAGCAGCCACACCCAGTAGACCCGATGACGCTTTGGTGCAGAAAGTGGAGTCATATGAGTTTCAGTGGATGGTAGTGCTTGCATATCATTAATAAAAGGAACTCATTCAACACAAGACATTAATGGGTTCAAGATTGCCATCTTTAACTTGTTCAGTAGTATCTACTAAAGGTACCTCTTCATCCCTTTTGTTGAAGTTGCCATGGAAACAAATTGTCCTTTTGCACATGCTTCCACTAAAAGGGAACATAATAATCTCCTTCAGGAAGTTTTTTTCCTGCCGCATGAGTCTACGAGAAATCCTAAGATAAATGCTTATGCTGCGCGTATGTTGACAATATGATCCTCTAACCGATGACATTCTTCACAGGCATATTGCATAATTATTGGGCCTAGATGAAAGGCTAACCAAGACTTTGTCTTTTACTTTTTTCTTTTTCTTTTTGGAATGTTAACCGATACTATATTATTGCTTGATCGTGCCCCCTTTTTTGTTTCAGATTTATGTAATATTTAGAAAAGAAATCCAGAAAATGAAAAGTTCTTGAAAATATGGAAATGGTCTTACATGTAGAATTTCATGCCAGTATTAGTAACCTTTGGCTCTGATTTTCCAATTTTATGGGGAGAGCATGCTCTTAGTGCTTTGTTGATGATGGGGATAGCATGCTCCTAAAGTGCATGGCCCCTTCAGCGGGTCATCCTTCCCCTGCTCTCCCTCCCCTCTACCACAATTACGCCCATCTCCTCAAGCCCCCTAGACCTTCAGCCCACCCCCATTAGCTTCCTCATCCTCAACCCCTCCAGAAACACTTGCTAGTCCCCAACTTGTCAACCCTTCACCCTTCGGCTCATCTGTCAGGTGCCCTCACCTTTTCTTCTCAATTGCTTTCTGCAAATCTACCCATTTCTTGGCACTCTTCTTCTAACTTCATCTCTATCCGGACCAACCCCAGCTCTCCTCTAAGAGGAAGTCTGGAATCCTCCCTGGTCGACTAGTTTCACCCAAAAAGAGATGACTTGAGAGGGACTGAAAAATGGACCCAAAACTTTGGGCAAGAATCCAACCTCGTTTGCCATTCTCTTCTCTAGTAGGTGGAGGCACCCTCTTCACCTTCCCATCCGTCCAAAGTGCTCTTAGAGCACTCTAGGCCAGCAAACCCACTTTCAAAGGCGCTTCTCTTACCTTGACTGCTTGGAGCCACACCCAAATGGAAGAGATGGTTGCGTGCATTCAGCATCCCCCTTCACACTTGCCACGAAGATACTTTCAAGGTGATAGAAGAGGCATGCGGCTCTTTCACTTCAATCAACTGGAAATCATCGAATTTCTTGCCCCTGGGAGCCATCCAGATCCTCATCAAGTCCATTGACCCTAATCTCATTCCCCCTTCTCTATGGGTGGAAATCAAGGGCCAATATTGGATTCGCACCGCCTGGTTCGAAACCACCGTCCAGTCCTACTCCGGCCAAGCTTAGGACGACCATTGATAACACACGGGACTACAATCCAAGGACCTTGGTAAGGCTCATGCTCTTAACCAAGACGGTTGGATCATGGTGGTCGGCAAGAAAGGGAATCACTAACTGTCATTGCCTTAACTGTAGGGGCCACCGCCATGCTATGAGAAAGCTAACCCATTCAATCTGGGCCCAAATCCCACCCACCCAGATCATGACTGTAGATCGGGGCCCATACCCCTCATCCCTACCGTCCAGCCTATACCCTCAGTCCTTCCCTCCCCCTCATCTTTTCCCCATTCTCTCTCCTTCCCAGCTGGCCCAACCCTTACATGAATGGCACGCCAATCCCCTTCAAGCGTCTACCCGCGAAACCCCCCCAACTTCTACTTGATGCGTGTCCTCGCATGCAGCCAATCCATCCGCACGCGAGGAAACCTTCCCACCCTCGAGCCCTCCAGCCGAGCCTAACAACTGACCCTATCCCCCAACTTTTCGACACTTGGCGAGAATAGCCACCCTACCTCTAGAGTGCGGGATCTCGAGGCATCCCAGAGATTAATTGAGGCTTCTCACGCAACCCTCCCCTCTTCCTCTTCCTCTCCCCAAGTTAGGTCGGTGGACTTCTCTTTTCTTGCCCTCTTCCATTCATCATCTCGAAGCTCCTCTCCACCCCTGGGTAAAACTTCCCTTCTCCCAGACATCAACCCTCCTTGAACTTAATCTCAATGAGAAAGTTGGCATCTAACTCATCTCGGTGCTTCAACCTCTCCCTTCTCCCTCAGACACCTCCAACTCACCGTCCCAGTCTCAAGAGCAACGTTTTCTCGCAAGAAGCAACTAGCCCGAAAGCCATTGCACTAACGTACATCCGTTTTCTTGCAAGAAGCAACAGGCTAGCGCGAAAGCCGTTGCGCTAATGCGCATCCGTTTTCTTGTAGAGTGGTAGTCACATCAATAGAGGACCCACCCCCACTTACTTCCCCGTCATAAGATCAAGCACCTTCTCGTCCTTTGGCTGCAATTCTCACTTCTTGTCCTTCAGCGTGGGAGACTCATCCCTCGCTCCCTTATTTCTCAAGTCTTCCCTCCACTACCCCTCAACCCCCCTAGAGTTGATCCGGCACCCACAAACCTCCCCCCTCATGCCACTCTCCATCCCCCCTCTCTCCCCCTGCCCCCCACCTCTTTTCGATGCCCTGCT